ACGCACGAGGATGGTTTGGTCGACGAGGAGGATGCTGGTGTAAGCCTCGAGGTAGACGCGCGAGGCTTTCTTTACGACTTCGAGACCCTTGACGGTGATGTCGGTCTCATCGGAGAGTCCAAGGCCCACGAGATAGAGCATGATGGGCTGAGGGGATGCTGTATGGAGTGGTTCGAGATCGAAGTTTGATTCTCAGAGTCAACCAGCTGGGTCCGGCGCAAAAGTTTTGGCGGGGTAAAAGTGAAGAAGTCATGGAGGGGTGAAATGTCTGGTGGAGGCCGCCCCACCATCAACCCCTGTCTGCCTACCTTACCTTCGGTAGGTACCTAGGTAAGTAGGTACCTAAGTCACCTTACCTACCAGGCAAGCCAGGTAGCTGTCTACCTGGTCGATTTGCTGTCTCCATCTAAGCACCTGAGGGACGAACAATCATTTCAGCGTCAACTCTTTCACGGAGTATTTGCGATTCCTGATTCAGCATCCCAAGCTTGCCTTACACACTTCCCCACGATACCGACAAGAAGACAATCTATTACCTCCATAACCAAAAGATCAGAGCAAGGTGTACTTCTCCGTCTTGAAGGTGCCATCATTGACATCGTCTACCGTCTTCTGATGCGCCTTCGATTCCTCTGGAGTGAAATGCAAGAAACACCCGCTGATCAACTCGAACTTGTCGCCGACCGCCCTGTTGATGAGCACTGACTCGGCTGTGCAACCCTTGAACGAAATCAAAAGATCCCCCGGCCGAGCATCGCACACCCTCTCTGCATACCCGATGACTGCCCCCCTCGTGACGAAGAGGCGCGCATCGGCAAGGAACCTCACAAGCTTCAGCGTATACTTGTTCCAAAACTTCCGGTCCTCCTCGGGCACATGTCCAGCCATGATCTTGTCATGCAAGTCTGCGAGGTCACCCTTGGTGAAATCCGTCTTGGCGCCGCCCGTGAAGCACCAAAAGAACGACTCGATGAATTCGCGTCGACGCTCTTCGGGCGTTTGACCAGGGCGCATCAGGCTCACGCAGAGATTCTCGGCCTTCGCAAAGACGCCCTTGAGCACCTCGTAGATCTCGTCGTCGCCGATGGAATCTTTAGGGTTCTTCGGCATGTCCGTGTGTTCCTGACAGAGGACGATGACATCAACAAGGTGGCCTTTGATTGTCAGAAGGTTAAGATCATCGGAGAAGGCGAGATCGTCAGAGTTGGGATCGAGACGCGCTTTAGCAGGGGGCCGGGGAAGAAAGTCGAGGGAGCGGTTCATCCACTGTCCGGCCCAAATGTGTGTCCAGTTGACCGTCCAGGACGGGAGACCTTCGTCCCTGCTCCAGTGATCGCACATGCGGAGAAAGTTGAGGTTCAGGGATTGCAATATGGAGTCTTTGGCGATTTCCTTGTACAGTCGCACGACATGTTTGCGGTAGTCGACATCGACGGGCATGCTGTCCTTGCCGCAAATGCCCATGAGCGAGTACACCATATCGCGGGGATCAGTGGCTTCTCGGCCCCTGGTGGTCTGCAAGAGTTCGAGCAAATCGTTGGAAAAGTCGCCGGCAACCGACTTTTCACGGCAAAACTCCATGGCACGGATGCCAAAGAGGTCCCAGATCCGACGGGTCCCGCCGAACAAGAGGTTCGCTCGCGGGTCTTGTCCAAAACACCGCATCCCCTCGGCCGCCTCGGAGAGCGAGTTCCAGTCAATCTCGTGGGTGGCACACTTGACGGTGATCTCTCGAGAAAGAGATATCTCCTGGATGACCCACTGGCGACGAAAGTAGGACCGGTCACTGAGTTTCGTCAACGAGAAGAGTGCGTACTCGGAGTGCCGCTTGATGATGTCCGGGTACTTGGCCGACCCCTCCTTGCCGATCTCCAGAGCCAGGGCAAAGGCACCGGCGACATCGAGAGCCTGTGTGCCGATGCCGTCCTCCTCCTCGTTCTCCATGCCGATCCAAGCGACAACCCGTGTGCCTTGTTTGTAGATGTTCCCCATCAACCTGACCTGTGCATTCTTCTCAATGACATTCCGCTGGTCGATACAGATGGAATCGATCCAGACAGTTCTCGCCCTATCAGGGTATCTCAGATGCTTCAGCGCAATTTCGACATTAGACGTCACGAGGAACCGGTCGTCATTCACCACCAGCGGTTGGGTGAAGCTTGCACCCTTCCACGTGTATGAAAGAGTCTCAAACTCGCCGGACCTGTCTATAAAGTACCGCTCCAACGTGCATTGCAACTCGTCGGCGAAGGCACCGGGGAGAACGGTCAGCAAGCGAATGGCATGGAGACCCTGAATCCTGGGAAGTGCCTCGAGTGTTTCGACATAATTCGTGGTCTTGAACCCGTCAAGAACGGGGATGCCGCTGAATTTGGGAAGTGGGACTAGTGGCGTCGCCATACAGTCGCTTGCTCTGGGCTAGTTGAAGTGGGAGATTCGCGTATCAAGACTCCGTTGCTGGTCGTTGCGTTGTGTGCCCAACGGCAGTGGTAATGCTGACGGTGAAAGCTTGGCTGCTCCCGCGGGCATGTGCAAAGTGGTTGTGACACGACTTTAAGTAGACCATCCTCGCCATATTCAACAAGCATCCTTGCGGCACAGCGCTTCAGGCGGCCAATGATGTGCAAAGTGCTTCAGGGCGGCGGCATGGCGTGGTGGTTGTTACAATTGTGATCTCTCAGTTCAGCAGACCCCCTCGGACGAAGACGGGGCGGGGGTTGCAGACAGCTGGCGAGCAGGGGGGGTAGGACACCGAGCTTTCATTGGGACATGGTTCGTTGTGGCGCAATCCTTCGATGTCCTCCTGCAATGACTGTTGTCCAGAGCATTTATCATCTTTGAGAAGATCACAGCGAGAGGCTGCGATCATTGGCTTGGTTAATAAATGTATTTCTTGCACGCGCTGCACGGGTGCCTTGTGTTGCCCACCCCGCGATATATGTAGGAAGGAAAAGTAAGAGCTTATCGGATTCATCGGCCCAGTGGGGGCAGTAGCAAGGACCTAGCACCCATATCAGGTGTCGCATCCCTGTCAACATTCTGCTTTTGATGGAGCAAGCTTCCACTTGCAACAAAGGTAGGTAGTCGGAGCTCGACTTTTACATCACCACCATTCACACCGTCAAGCAAATACCAAGACAAGATCCGCCACCCACCCTGCGAGTCCGCCAAAACCCTCATCAAACACGCGCGAACCGAGTCATCTCCCGTCTCGAAAAACACCATCACCATGGCCGACAAGAAGGGCAGCGCCTATGGCGCGCCGGCCGGCGACACGGACTTTCGCAAGACCTGGGACCTCGATGAATACGCCGCCAAGGCCAAGGCGCGCGAGGCGGAGGAACGCGAGGAGGCGAAAGCGCGCTACGAGGCCAAGCTCGCCGGCAAAAAGTACTACAAGCCGCTGACGGGCAACGAGACGATGACGACGGCGCGGCAGTCGGGGCTCGACCTCTCGTCGCAGGTGGGCAAGACGCAGCTCGTGGCGGCAGGCGCAGGCGTCGGCAAGAGGGGGAGGAGCGCGGGTTTCTACTGCGAGGCGTGCGACCTGACGTTCAAAGACAACAAACAGTTTGTCGAGCACATGAACACGCCGCAGCACCTGGCGGCGACGGGGCAGAAGATGGAGGTCGAGAGGGCGTCGCCCGAGGAAGTCAAGGCGAGGATCCAATACTGGTGGGATCAGAAGGAGGAGCTTGTCAAGCAGCAGGCAACAGGTCTGCACGAGCGGTTGGAGCTGCGGCGGGCAGAGGACGAGAGGGAGGCCGAAGAGAAGAGGCGCAAGAGGAAGGAGGCCGACGAAAGGAGGCGGAAGGAGAGGGAAGAAGCGGAGAAGGTGAAAACAGAGTATGGGGACGATGTGAGGATTGAGGGCGAGCATGAGGAGGACGACATGATGGCTGCCATGGGCTTTGCCGGGTTTGGGACGTCGAAGAAGTGAGTCGCGTGTTGCCCATGGCGAGGCTAAATGATACCCTAGAAATGAACAACGAGGTCAAATTGCACCTATTCGTTGCAACTCTCTCAAGGTGGCAGAGCGGCCCGGTGCAATGGCACAACCATTGCGACAACACCGAACTGGACAGTCGAGTCGAACCTGGTCATACTCACCGAGTCGGTCAAACAGTCGGTGAAGATCGGACCCCGCCATCGGCAACGACCAAGAACGCTGTGGGTCGGTCTGCTGCTTGACCAGACCAGACCAGTTGCAACCCCCACCATGACCAGCTGATCGACATTGGCCTTGACCGCGACACGACAAACGATTGTTGCAAACGCCGGGACCTTTGCACGCATATACTCGCAGCGTCGTTCGCCAGCCACATCCTCTCGGCCAATTCGTCTGCGGCTCTTGCGTCCGTCTCTGCATCGACTGGTTTCTCTACCCCGCGTCCAGCCTCTCCCTCCTCTCCTTGTCCGCTCTCAAGAGCGCCTTCAATCACCCATCATGGCCTCTCCCTCAGGATCCTCCCTCCTCCTCGCCCGTTACTACAAAGATATGACCAAAGGCCAGGCCGCGAAGGACCTTCCTGGCGTCTCCGTCGGTCTCGTCAATAGCAATGTCTTCGAGTGGGAGGTCATGCTCATGATCAATGACGATTGCAAGTACTATGGTGGTCAGTACAAAGCCCAGAACCCCAACGCATGGCGATACGCAAAGCTGATGAATACTGCCAGGCGGCTTCTTCCGCGCCCGTCTCACCTTCCCGCCAAACTTCCCCGACATGCCGCCCTCCATGACGTTCCAGAACCCGATCCCCTTCCACCCCAACATCTACCCCGACGGCAAGCTGTGCATCTCGATCCTGCACCCGCCAGGCGAGGATGAGTTCGCGTACGAGGAGGCATCAGAGAGGTGGAGCTCCGTCCGCAGCCCCGAGAGCATCCTCGTCAGCGTCCTGAGTCTGTTCCATAGCCCGAATACCGAGTCGCCCGCCAATGTCGAGGCCGGCAGGTTGCTGCGAGAGGACACCAAGGAGTTCAGGAAAAAGGTGCGCGTGTGCGTGAGGCAGAGTCAGGAGGAGAGTTTTTAAAGGTGCACATGGCTCCATTCGCGTACGGCGACCTTTTGAAGATACCCAGGTGTTAGCGAGTACCGTGGATTGGGGGAGCACAGATTTTGGCGGCAATGCCATTCAGTCACGGAACCAGACACTCTCGACCCAATTCGCAGATTCATGATTTGTTCTTCCCAAAATTGTCTGACTGCTTCAGAAGTCTATTCCGATCTTGTCTACTTATGATAACTCCAGTGGCAATCTCGCACCCAAAACAAATCTATCCGAAACGATCCCACGCCGGCAACCTGCTACAACCCCATTCCTGTCCAGCCTAAATCAGTTGCTTCGTGTCCTCCGAGTCAACTAGAGATATGAGAGGGCTCACGTGCTTAACTTGGCCAATGGTTGGCGACCACTCGGAATCTGCATCACTTGCGTTCCGGTCCTTCAACGAACTCGCCCTGACAAAGTTGTATGCGGCAAGCTCAGCTGGAGGGTAGCAGGTGTGCGGCAATTTAGAGTCGACTTCGCGCAGCCGTTTTTGGAGGAGTTTGAGCCCATCCGGCATATCGCTAGGGTCGTCGTCGGAGTCGATAACATTTTCAGCTAGCTCTTCGACGAGAGCATCCTTCTTGGTAAGCCCAGTCAGAGAGATGCGGTGCAGCTCCGCTTCCTCCACCTTTTGCTGCCGGATGTTCCCGTGCGCCATCTTGAGCTCCTTCCGGGCGCCGGCCAGCGCCGCCCGCGTCGAGGCCAACTCGGCTTCGAACTGACAGACCATGCGCCCGGCCTCTTCGTGGTGGGCGCGCAAGTCATCCTTGGCAGTCTCCAGGTCCCAGGAGATCTCCTTCTTCTCGACGCACTTGTCGTCGTAGTCCTTGCGGCACTTGGCAGCTCGAGTCTCGGCCTTGACGCACCGCGCCTTGACCTCATCAGTTTCTGCAACAGCAGCGAGACGCGCAACCTCGGCCATGTTGGTCTGGAGGCGGGCGTCCTCGTGCGCCCCGCGCTCGCGCTGGAGAGCCGCCATGACATCTTCGAACGCGTGGCGCTCTTCTTTGAGCTGCCTTTGTGTCTCTTCGATCACCTGGCGCTTCTCCTTGAAAAAGTCAGCCGACCGCTCTACGAAGGAGGAAAACCGGCTCTCCTGAAACTCCTCGAATTCTGTCATCCTCTTCTCCGCTTCCGCAGCCTGGTCATCGAAGCGCTGCTTGAGGAGCTCGTACCGGTCGTTTGAGACGCTGAGCTCACGGTTGGCAAGTCGCAGCTGTTTGGTGAGCTGCTCGATGAGGAGTTGCGTGCGGCTGGTCTCTGCGCCGTCGCCAGCAGCACAAGGGTCCGGGACACGGCCGCCGAGCTGGGCGTTCTCTTTGAGGGCACTGAGAAGCGACCGGACCAACTGCGCCGTGAGCGCGTCTTCGCTGCGGCCGTCGACGCCGAAGAGAGTCTGATCTAGCTGGCGCGTGTAGGCATCAAACTGAGCCTGCTTCTGAGCAAGCGCAGCAGCATGCTCAACATGGGCGGCGCGAAGAGCATTCTCCGATGTCTTGAGAATCTCAGTCAGGGCGGCGATCTCTTTAGTGGCTGCCAGGTCGCGGGCCTGGGTGCCGAGAATGTACTGACGAAGTAGGGCATTCGACATGCCGCTTGGCTTGAGTTCGGGGGGAGTCTTGGGGGCCGCAAAGAGACGGTTGAGACTCTCTCTACTCGGGAACACAACGGGCCCAGGGAAAGGGGTGCCAGACGCGTTGGCAGGTTCGCCATTCTTTTCGGGCATTGACATATGCTGGTTAGCCGTGGCGTTAGGTTCAAGCACACTGGCCTTTGCAGCAGCATCGCGCACGGCGCCTCGGGCAATGTTCTGTTCCGCATTCAAGATGGGTTGCATCAATAAGTCACTTGACTTTCTGGTTTCTGCAGGCGCAGCACCATCCACGTCAGCGGAAGGGCCTGCGCGACGGAACATGGCTGCCCACACTTCGTTTTGCGAGTTGCGAGCTCTGGCGAAGATGTCTTCGATGCTGCGAGGATGGTGTTCCTTCTGAGGCTGCCCGACAGACTTTTCCAGGATGCTGTTTTGCTTCGAGACCGTGCCCTTGGGGTTCGCAGAAGCATGAATCGTAGGCGATATCTTGGAAGTGGCGGCATGGCGAAGAACCGCCTTAGGAGTTGCGTCGTATACATCATCGTCGCTGGTGCACCGCTTCACCGTTGCGTCACAAACGTCAGGGAGCCAATAGTCCTTCTCGGTGTCAACCGTCACCTTTGCGGGTTGCTTGGAGCCGCGTCGCAAGGCTATGGGTCGAACGGAGTGACTTGGCGAGGAACGCATCAACTTGATATCAGCCGGTGTGCTGTATTGAATTAGGGGCTCTGGCTCTGGCGGAGAATTGCCGACAGAGTTCTTCAAGACTGTGTTCGTGTTGCTCACCCGAGGCTTGAAGTTGCTTGGAAGGGCAGGATACATCGGGTTTCCATAGTACCCGATCACTCCAAGATACTCGTCAATTTCGGCCTGTTGCCATGGCGAAAGGATTGGGAGGCCGGCACTGTTCACAGGTCCAGGAGAAGAGTGAGTAAGATCACCAGTAATACTGCCGCGTCTAGGCTGACAGGGGTTCTCATCCCAGACATGCTGGGCAGGCTGTGGCCCATCATCAGCAGGCTGATCCTTTGCTTGAGGCTCGGGCTGCACTTGCAGAGCGTCCCCATTCCGAAGGCGCACGTCATCGGAGCGCTGAATGGGCGGCATAGTACTAGGGACATGGGCTTCGGGTTCAAAGCGCCGAGGTCCAGCCTCGGCAGAAGAGTGATGTACAGGAGGCATGCCTCCAGCGGAGGACTGGATCATGCGTGCTGGCAGAAGAGAAGGCATCGAAGGGAGCGTCATGTTGCCCTGCACTTGAAAGACCTGACAGCCTTGGAAATGATGCTGCGGGCTCATACCAGACGGGTGGAAAGAGCGGTTCTGCGGACCGATACCGTTGATGATGGGCTGAAGAGGTTCTTGGGGAGGGTACTGGGGGTACTGCACGGGGCGCTCGAGGTATTGAGCCCGGTTGTCGAAGGCAGACCAGCTGCTTTGGTTAAGGTTGCTTGCCATGGCTGGAGAGTGAGTGATAATTGTGATGAGTAGGTGGAAAGAGTCGAACATGGAATGATAAAGGAAGAGAGGCAAGAAACTACGGGTGGCTCCAATGAAGCATATTTATGCTGTTGGTTGATCCCTCCGAGGCGCGAATGTGCAGCAGACGTCGATTCGCTAAGTGGAATCAATGCTTCTGGATCCGCAGAATGCGTTTGCGGGCAACTTTGTCCGGGAAGAAGAATGACCCACTGGCTTGACATTGAGTACTGTGTAGGCGTGTCTCATGTCAAGCGATCCTTTCGAGCTGAAGCTTGAGCAATGCCGTAGTTCAGGGGCAGCTCTAGCTTGTAGAATCAATGATTCTGTGAGACCATAACTTTGTTGCCAAGGAAGTAGTACACGGGCCAAGACCGTGGAGGACCAATGCACACGAGGTAGTGTATGAGTTCAGGTCAGTTGATAGGTTCATCAACGACGTTGTCAAGCGGACCATGTTCGTCCATCTTAGCGAGTTTTTTTTTTAAAAAAAAAAAAAAAAGTGCAGACCAGACAGTAGGTCCGGGTGCCTTAGTGCTGCTCAATCGTATTTCCTTGTAAGAAGTATTCAGTGGTCATCAGAAGCCATTGGCCTAAACCTCGAGGGCAGGAGATGTTGAAAGGAAGTGGCTCAAGTCATGACAAAGAGATCGAAACCATGTAGCACGAAACACAAAGCTATTGTCGGTCGCTGTGTGTCGTGTACTATGTAGCGTTGTTGTTAAGCAGCTTTTCTATTCTTTGTTCCGCTCATGAGGAGCATGGGGACCCCGTATACCTTTCTGCGTAGGTACGTAGATGAGATCAGGTCTTTGTACTTGCATGCCAATAGTTTATGCTGCTATTGAAGACAACTGGGCAGCGGATTCTGCAAAACGTCTCGGCCAGATGTTGCTGCAGGTGCTGAGTGAGGGAGAGATCCTAGGTCATTGATTGTTTGAAGGAACATCTACTCTTGTTATCATCTAGTTTGCTTCGTATCTCATCATGGCATTGTCGATGAAGATCATTTGTTAATGATATCGGTCCAGTCCTGGTTCTTAATCCATTCTTCAAGACTTGTCATCGGACAATCGATGCCAGTCTGCTCATGTCAGTCAGTACACGTCCATGAGAACACTTCACCTCGCCTACAGAACTTACCTTTCTAATATCCTCCGCCCGCAACAGATCCATGCCGCCATCATAGCCGGGATCGGTGGTGTATTCGAACATCAATGCAACCTCGATGCCGGTAGCCTCTTCTCCTGTAGCAGCCACCATTTCATCAAACGTGACCTGGTTGTAAGCGACGGGTTGACCAGTCAGTTTCCCCCAAGATTGGATCCACTCGGTCCAGCTGCACGTGGTTCCCTCAGCCATGTAGGCCTTGCCAGGCGGCATCTGAGACACGGCAAAGGTGAAGGACCCCATGTCGGCAACCGGGTCAAAGTGAGGGACCATACGGTCGGGCGCCGTGGTGAAGGACATTTGGAACGTGCCATCGGGGCGCTGCAGAAAAGATTAGCACGCACGAAAAATGGCAAATCAATGACTGAAATGACTGAGGTCGGAGGTCTGCCTACCTTGCCAAAGTATGAGTTGGGCAGGATGCGATGGCTCGTGTAGAAGAAGCCCGTGTGGATGCACGACATCTTGGCCGCCAACGCCGGGTACTTTTCGTCGACGTAGGAGGGGAAGACGTCGGCCTTGGAATCGAAATGGTACAGGTCTTTGTACTTGCCCTGACTGCAACGACCCGCGTGGCTCAGCGTCGAGACGAGGAAGCTATTCTCAACCAGCGTGTCGACAGTCTTGGCGGCCGCGTCGGCAATGTTCTTCCCCTGGCGCACTTCGACATCGTAGGCGAAGCGGCGGCAGGTAATGCCCTGCTTCTCGGCGGCGGCGCGGCAGTCTGGGCGAAAGAACGGCTCCCAGTAGTTGGTGACGGAGAAGATGAGGTTGGCGCCTTGAAGAGCGGCGGCGAGAGCAACGGGGTCGTCGAGGTCGGCCGCCACGACCTCGGCGCCCTCCTTGGCGAGGGCGAGGGCAGCAGGCGAAGAGGGGTTACGGGTGATGGCGCGGACGCGGAAGTTGGCAGCAAGAAAGCGGCGGGCAACGGAGCCGCCCTGGTTGCCTGTGGCACCGACGACGGCGATCAGACGGGAGGTGCCGTCAGTGGTAGCCATGGTGGGCGATTCGTGGTTTGGAGTAAGTGCGCGTGAGATCCCGTTGGTTAGTTCGTCTGGTGTCCTTTCTCGTTCAGCGGCGTCAATTCACGTGCCTGACACCAAAATGCGATGCTGAGGTTTGCCAAAGAGCTGAGACTTTGGGGAGTTGGCAGCTGAGGGGGGTGGATAGGATGGAGGGGATGGAGGGGAAAGGGCTGGCTAGAAGGAGGACCGACCCCTGTTCCCACGAGGCCCAGAACGGTACCGTACACTGGGATCGGGCCCCGCTGAAGCAGAACGCAAATCCTGGTTGGAATCCCGGTTGGAATCCAGGTGGTTGGATGGCGCAGGTACCTACCGACCTTGGGCAAGCATGGTAAGGTCGGGATCTGCAAATAGTCTAGCACGAAAACTAGGCAACGGGTAGCTCAGGCCAGCGAAGGAAGCAGAGCTGCTCTTGGTCGGGCTTTGACCACGCTTGCTCGGTGAACATCACCTCGAATCATCAGAATCATCAGAATCATCAGAACCATCAGAATCATCAGAATCATCAGAATCACCAGAACGACCTCAACCGCCCAGTCTTTCCGACCAGGCTACTACCGGAGCCATCGCCTAACGATCGTTTCGATTTTCAACTTCCGAAGAAATTTGTCATTCATTAGAGTCTTTCGGCTGTCGAACCTCTCTACGCCAGTGTGGCCTTAAGAACCTTGATCTGCTCCAGAACGCTTGACCGACTAGTACCACCCTTGACCGACCTCATCTCGACGCTTCGCTCGTAGTCAAATGTCTGCGCAACGTCCTCCCCAAATCGGCTATCAATAGCCTGAAGTTGCTCCAGCGAGAGCTCGTTCATCGGAATACCGAGCTTCTCGCTCGTGGCGACACATCGCCCAGAGATGTGGTGCGTCTCACGGAAGGGAACACCCTTTCGCACGAGATAATCAGCAAGATCAGTGGCCAGCATGAACGGATCCAGGGCAGCCTTCATCCGCTCTGGCCTGATCGTCAGAGTGGAGAGGATACCCTGTGCAATCTGAAGGCTATCAGAGATAGTCTTCACATGATCCAGCATGGGTTCCCAGCTTTCCTGCAAGTCCTTTTGATATGTGCTGGGCAGGCCCTTCTGGGTCATCATGAGGCCAGCCATGTGGCCAAATGCTCGGCCGGCCTTTCCTCGCAAGAGTTCCAAGCCATCTGGGTTCTTCTTGTTCGGCATCAAAGAACTTCCAGTCGAATAAGCATCGGCAATGGAAACAAAGCCGAACTCGGAAGAGGAATACAGAATAAGATCCTCAGCCCATCGAGAAATATGTTGCATGAACATACTGCCCCACTGCAGGAATTCAGTGACAAAATCTCGGTCGCTAACAGCATTCATGGAGTTCCATAGAATGTCTGCGAAGCCCAGCTCCTCGGCCATCATATCGCGGTCAATGTTGAAGCCATTGCCAGCAAGAGCACCACAACCAAGCGGGCTCCTGTTGACACGCTTTGAAGTCTCGCGCAGCCGCTCCAGATCGTTCGCGAAGTAGAAGCCGAATGACAACAGATGCTGCGACCACAGGACAGGCATGGCACGCTGGAGATGCGTATATCCAGGCATGAGAACGCCGCTAGCAAGGTTAGGAGGACTGCTAGATTGGGCGGGTACTCATCAGACTTACTTCTCGGCCTCAGCGCGGGCGGCAATCACCTCAATCAAGGCAATCAGGTGGCCCTCAATTTCCTCGATCTGGTTGCGAAGCCACAGACGCATGTCGCAGGCAACCTGCTCATTGCGACTGCGACCCGTGTGTAGCTTGCCGGCGATGTCCTTGCCAATAATCTCACCAAGCCGGCGCTCATTGGCGGTATGGATATCTTCATCGTTGGGCATGATAACAAAGGCATCAGCCTCCCACTCCTTCTGAACCTCCCGGAGGCCTCGCTCGATTTCAGTGAATTCGTCCTTAGAAATGATGCCAGACTTGGCGTTTGCGCGAGCAAACGCAATACTGCCGAGGATGTCTTCCTTGAACAGGAGCTTGTCGTATTGAATACTCGCATTGTACTGGAGCATGAGGGGATCGAGGCCGCCTGTCATTCTGGGGTCAGCACATGGCAATCGAACTCCCGGCACGCAAAAACCAACCTGTGAAGCGGCCGCCCCAAAGCATGTTTTCTGCAGGTGCCTTTCCAGATGCCATGATGTGCTGACTGCGTTCGTAATTGCTGAGGTCGAGAGTACAGTCACTGACAGAGGAGTCGTCGGCGTCTACTCCGGTATCGCGTCCAATTTTTGTTTGATTACCTAAGACGAGTCATAGCTCTGTGCTGGCAGGTCACGTGTGCGCACGTGACCCGATGCGTCAAAAGGAACTGGAGCGCAGTGTCTGCTTTTGTGGTTTGGCCAGTTGCAATGCCTCTCAGGCTACCAAGTGGCCTCGATCTTGTCAAACTTGATTGTGATTCGCCTCGCACCAGGGATTTGGGCGCGCAGGGGAAGAATGACCGTTCGCCACCGAGTTCCTGGAGGTGTGACACCCCCACAGATGCCGGGAGCCCCGAGCCTGGTGCCCGGTGCTGGCCCGTGCCGGGGTCCTGACACACTGTGTTGTGCGTGATCCGTGCCCGCAACTGTGTGCAGGGGCGTGAAAGAGGTTGATTTGATCAGCTTTGCTCAGGGTCAAAAGCAGGGACAGCTCGGCCTTGGCACCGGAGCAGATTAGGGAACCTAGATCTGTCGGGGGTAGCTATTGAGTGTATCTACGTAGGCGATGACGAAGATCTCAGGGGCTCATGATCGCAGATCGGTTCTGTTGAACGAGGCAGAGAAAGTGCTTTGCTTTGCTTTGCCTACCGATCGCTGACCTGGGTATTTGACCTCAAAGTACCTACTTATCAGCTAACCTGACTGCACATCACCCACCTTCCTAGGCACAAGTAGCAAAGAAGGCACGATCGAGATATGCCCCTTGGACGCGCATCTCACCTTCCGTCTTGTTCGTGAAGCGGTCGATTCCGCCTGCTCTAGTCACTGCACTAGGCACTAGGCACTAGGCACGTGGATCGGCCCATCGACTTGGTACAGTGGGCAAGGCAAGAATGGCCTGTCCTGCAGCAGGTGCAAGTGGCGCTGCAACGCCCGGCCTGTGCTCCTTCCCCAAACGGGGAAAACGTACGAATCCACTTCCCTTTGTGAGAATTGCAGCATCCATCTCGCCCTTCACCTGCCGCTGAAGCCGTCCCTTAGCTCATGCTCCTTCCTGAAGACAGACAGGCCTTGAGTGCGTTTGAATGGCCACTCTCGTTCTCGTGACCGCAGGTCCGAAGGTCCACACTCTTCGTCCGGACCCTCTCCTCCATAACCTTTCTTAGCCTCGTTTTGTCTGACTCTGCGCACCATACCTCTCTGTTCTTGACAATCAGTTCCATCGTCGCACAATTGCTCTTGGTCCTTCTCTCGGCCCCAACAGAGAGAGACTCGACCTCAGAGATCGACACACTGCGACCGACCTAGAGCAGCCCTGTGCTGTGCTCGAGCCATGTCCTCCCCCACACCACCCCCTGCGGCACTGCCCTCGCTCGCTACCACACCGCTGGAACCGCCGCCTGGGGATGCCGAAGCCGCGTTGCACAAGGCGTCTTCACCCAAGGCGTCCTCTTCGAAGGCTTCCTCGCCCAAGGCATCTTCTCCCAAGAGCGCTTCGCCAAGGGCCGCCCATTCACTGCAACATATTCTCAATCCCGTCGACGACGAAGACGTACCGGAGCCATTACAGGTTGATGTAAGACCATGGCAGACTTCCCATCAAAACCCCCCACAAATTCGCCTAACAGCTTCAGGACGCCTATGGCCCCGACGACAACGACAACGATTCGACGTACGGCTCAGACAGTGCGACAAACTACACTGGCTCTGTATCCTCTTCTATCTATCACTACCAGTACGAGAACGGTCGGCGATACCACGCCTATCGCGAGGGCCAATACGTACTGCCCAACGACGACCAAGAGCAGGAGCGTCTCGACCTGCAACATCACATATGGCGCCTCCTACTTCGCGGCAGCCTGTACACGGCGCCTCTGCCCTCGCCACCAGCAGAAGCCGAGGATCCGCCAGCCGACGGATCCCTCCGCATTCTCGATCTCGGCTGCGGTACCGGCATCTGGGCTATTGACATGGCCGATGAATTCCCACACGCCCACGTCTACGGCGTCGATTTATCTCCGATCCAGCCTGATTGGGTGCCGCCAAACTGTAAGTTCCACGTCGATGACTACGAAGATGCCTGGACCTATGGCCCCGACGAGCGATTCGATTACATCCACGGCCGTGCCTTGTCGGGCACCTCTGGTGACTGGGCACGCTTTTACAGCAACGTGCGCGAGCATCTAGTTCCTGGCGGGTACGTCGAGATGCAAGAATACGATGCCTGGGTTTTCAGCGACGACGACAGCATGGCCCGCGCTCCGTGGACAACTGAATGGGTTGAGAAGCTTGACAAGGCGTCCCACATGTTTGGCAAGCCCATCAACATTGCGCGTTTCCACAAACAATGGATGCAAGATGCTGGGTTCGAGGACGTCAAAGAAGTCGTATATCGCATCCCCATCGGACCCTGGGCCAAGGATCCAGCCCTGAAAGAACTAGGACGATACGAGCTCACGCACATGCAAATGTCGGTCGACTCGCATACGCCAGCGCTGTTCACGCGGGTTTGGAACTATTCACAGGACCAGGCAGGCGTCTTGATGGAGGGCGTCAAGAGGGAGTTTCGAAGTAAGGATTTGAGGCTCATCACTTGCTATCGCTTCATCACCGGAAGGAGACCCCTGTCAGACGGCGACGTCAATGTCTGACGGCAGAGACTCTTTAATGCTTTGGACAGCAGTGGCGTTTAAGTAGGTTAGGCGACGTTTTATGGAATGACTTTGGACTCGACCTCACATACAGCTATTGATACTCGCAAAAACACTTATCGGGACAGCCGTGATGCAACATTGTGCCTCCGGTCGGTCTTGAAGTACGCTATCCAGCCCTCAATCCTTTCTGGTCAGATTTGACGAGATCAACTCTGTCTGCACATACTCGAAGTCCTGGCACAAGTCAGTAAACACCCTCCTAAGCTGACCGCGACTTATCCTGCGAGCACGACTTACTGCCGGGTTGAGAATGGGCAACTTGGTCCCCGTGACGTAGATGGCGAAATGTGTGCCAACAAAGTTCTGCCAGCCGCTGACGAAGGCCTGCAGCCACCGGTTCTCGACGCTCGCCACCCACCGCGGCCGTCCGCATCCCGTCGCATACCCCAGCCGGTACCCAACATCCCGCGCCTCGATGAAGAGCTTGACCGGCTTCCCTGCTGCGACGCCCTCGTCCTCAATGTACGTCGTATTGAGCGTTGCGTCCGGCCCCGTCCGCGTGTGCACGACGATGCACCGAGCCCCGCTGTCCTCGCACCGCGTCACGGCGATCGAGTTGTGGTAGTGAATGCTCAGGTACACTGCCGCGCCGGCTTCCTGTCGGACCGAAGACGGCTCGAAGGCGCTGAGCTCCGTGCTCCACGTTGTGTTGACGTCGACCTGCTTGCGGAACAGCGCCGCCGGCGTCTCCCGATGCGACAGGTCGTAGACGTTGCCGCGGATGCGCAGCTTGCCGGGCACCGATGCAAAGTCTGTGAAGTCCTTGTACGGCGTGCGCTGGTGGTAGTACGCGCCGTCCGCGAGGCCGCCGTCAAAGTCATCGCGCCACCTCGCCGGCCGCGGCAGGTCATACAGCACGCCGGGCATGTGCTCGGTGATGGGCGCGCCACCGTTGAACACGGGCCAGCCGTCCTCCCACGTCACGGGGCACAGGAAGGTCTCGCGGCCGAGCTGGGGGCGGCCGGTTGCATTGCGCGGGTTCTGAGGCCGCGTAGCGAGGAATACGGCCCACCACCGGCCGTCGGTGCCCTCGACAATGTCGGCGTGGCCCGTCGCGAGGACCGGCAGGGACCGGTCCCTGCCGTTCCAGAGGACAGGGTTGTTGGGGTTCGCCTCCCAGGGTCCTTCGAGAGACGACGCGCGGTAGTTGTTGGCCGAGTGGTTCTCCTCCGTGCCGCTGTCGGCGGAGATCATGTAGTAGGTGCCGTTAATCTTGTAGAGGTGGCTTGCCTCGGTCAGCGGGTAGCCGACGTCTTCGGGGACTGTGGTGGTGTGGAGAACACGGGACTCGGAGAGGGAATTGCCCGTCTTTATGTCAATCTCCGTAATATGGTTCGCAAAGCTGCCGTAGTCGGCAAACTCGGAGAAGGTGCTCGTAAAGTAAACCTTGCCATCGTCGTCGAAGAAGAGGTCCGGGTCGAAGCCCCATTGGTCAACATAGATTGGTTCGGAGAAGGAATCGGGGTCCCAGATGTTGTCCGTAGTGACATAGAAGGATCGTGGGACGCGAGTGACCTGGAGCGTGAGCAGAGGGCATAGTTGGTGTGGATGATCAGACACCAAGACTTACATTATCAGGAGGGCTGATGACATCAAAAATGGTAGTCGTCACGTAGTAAATTCCGTCGTGGTATCTGATCGTCGGGGCGAACACACCACCGCTGGGCGCTGTACCGCGGAGCGGCAACTGTGACGGTCTCGACAGAGCATGCCCAATCTGCTCCCACTTGACACTAGTTTCATGTGAGTGATAGAATTTCAGGGACGACAGACGTGCACTCACAGATCCTTCGAGGTGTAAATAGGTACACCAGGGAAATACTCAAAAGTCGACGTCACGAGAAAGTAATCATCCTTGACCCTGATCATGCTCGGGTCAGGGTTGAATCCAGGGAGGATGGGATTAATGAGGCCATCAACAATTGCTGATCCTTGTTAGTGGAAACGAGCGCCCTATTCACCAGGGTCAAGCGTACTTGGCAGCAGCAAAACGGCAGAAGCCAAATATTCGAACAGCTTCATTGTGAAAACTCAAGTTTATAGTTCCGGCAGCGCCTTTCTTCAGCATCACGCTGTCCTTTGTGTTGGCGAAATTCGGTACAATACATTATATAGATTTCATCGACAAATGACGTTCACCGGCAACACATGCTTGCGTAGTGGCCCATACCCCTCATTCTAAGGTGCCGGGTAATTAGGATGCTGCATGCAAGTAACTTACTTGGGGAAAGAATGTGACCCCAAGAACGCACATCCAACAAGCGGGCAAATGAGGTCGCGGATAGACCGACCTCCTCCGGCAGTCAATGCTGGGACCTGGTCTTCCGAGTGCGATACCCCGCGCCGAGCAGGTCTACGAGTCCGAGGAGTCTCACAGCGGGGCATACATGGCAAACGAACAGCTTGGATATGTGTTTTCAGAAGACAGCCATGTCTGCTAGGATCTACTTCGAATCTGCAAGCATGTGTATTTTTCCAATTGGCTGTCCTTTTACGAGCAGCTTAGTATGCGCCCTTCCTCTCACGCCACTTCGGCTGAGGTGCAGGCTCGACGGGTCCAAAACCTGTAGCACTGACCATGCCGACCTCCCACTTGAGACCTTCAATCCTGGCGCCTCCATCCTCCATGGCCCAGAGCGAGATGGCGAGGTGGTTGGAGCCCTGGAAGTTGAGGATACCCTCGGGAACAGGGAAACGAGTCTGAGGGCCCACGTGGTGAACAAACTTGCCAAACTGGTAGCCATTGACGAAGAGCTGTGCGCGGTAGGCAACATCGGTGGTGTTTCCAAAGGTGAGCGAGAGCGGGATGTCATATCCAGTGGGGAGGTCAAGATCAAAGGTTGCGGAGTAGAAAGCGATGCCGGGCTCCTTGATGCCTTCAGTCGGACCCTTGCTGTCATCCCAGCTATCCGAAGGAGGTTGAGGCCAGTGGTAGCCCTGACGTTCAGCAAACAGGCCACCCTCGTTCAACGGACCCCTGTCATCATCTGCATAGTCTTCACCGCCGAGGTTGCCGGTGATCTTCCAGGCGATGTCAGACTGCTTGTGGCCAGACAGGGCGTAGTTCAGGATACCACGGGGGTTCTTCTGCTGTTCTTCCGCAACGACCCAGTTGCCGTTCATGCCCATGTGGTCGACAACAACGGTGATGATGTACTCCTCGCCTTCAGTGAGCTTGGGGAGATCAAACGTGCTGTTGTGAGCGGGGGCGATGGCGTTTCCAACCCAAGAACCAATGAACTGGTCGTTGAGCCAAACTGAAGTACCATACGCGTTGCCGCCTTGCGTGGTCAGGTCAAGAGCGTTGCCGCTGCTGGCCTCCTCGCCGTTGGCAGTGAAGCGTCCGCGGAAGAGAAGGGATCCAGTGTGGAAGCCATAGTCGCCGCCATACAAACTCTTGGGGGTGTCCAGGGGGTTGGCAATGTTCAAGGTGTTTCTGTCAGCGTCCAGCCAAGCGTCATCGGAGTAGTCGGACTGAATCTCAGGCAGGCTGTCGAGGTACTTCCACTTCAGGCGACTGAGGCAGGGAAGCTTGATATCGGGTGTCTTGAACTCGATCACGGCAGACACCACACCAGAGTCATCTTGCTCAAAGTCGAGAGCCTTTCCGTTGAACTCAAGAGCCTTCAACGAGGTGGGCGCGCCGCCGATGACTTCAATAGGGGTTGTAGCGTTGACGTCACCAACAAAGCTGAGCGAAGATCCGTCAATCGAGACGGTACGGACGAGGTAACCAGCCTTGATGATGACATCCGCGGTTCCGAGATCAGCCTCGGTCGGGGGAACCCAGTAGTTGTATGCCTCGTTGCGGTCTGTTGCATGTCAGTAATGTCGAGGGGGAGGGGTACTGGGAGAACCAACTCAAGATGTAGACGTATAGGTCTTTGTGCACGCGAACGACCTTGCGATCCTCCGTGACTTCCCAGTTCAGGATCGTGTAGCCATCCTTCTGGTCGGTTTCAACATCAGATCCTTCAATGACTTCGGCATCCCCCTTGCCCTCGACAGCCAGCTCGTGGTGTTCATTAGGACCGCCATACACAACCAGGACAGTCTTGTCCTTGTATTGCTTCCTGCGTATTGTCAGACGGGCTCGCAAATGGTCGAGAAGACTGTAAAGCTTACCAGGTGAAGATTTCAGCGGTAGAATAAACGAGGGTCTTGTCACCGACGGCGTAATCGCTGACGTGGATCTTGGAATCCCTCCTGGTCAAAAACAGGCTCTCACTCAGCTGAGGAACAGTGAGATTTCCATATTCAACAGTGTCCACGGTGAGCTTGTAAGCCACAGTCTCCAGCGAGCTGTACTGTGTGTGCCTAAGGTGGCTGGTCAGCTTTGATTGAGAGCACCTAGTGTAACATGCCAACGTACCTGGCAAAGTAGAACTTTGTGGTGTTCGTCGTCGCAGGAGTGACAGTGATGGCAGCGTTGTCCGTCCAGTCGAGAGAGGCAAAGTGGCGTTCAGCCTCGAGATAAGCTGGCGAGACGTGGAAGAAGTTCGCCTGCAGCTTTGACTCGCTGTACTTCTCGCGGTTGACGAGACGCTCCTCGGTGATCTGAGCGCCGTAGTCATAAGAAGTGTAGCCGTCAGAGTGACCAAGGTTGCCCCAGTTTGTTCCGCCCCAGGTCTATTGGCTGTCAGGAGTAATTCTTGGGTTCAGCAGTGATGGCATACCATGTAGACGTTGAAAAGTGTCGCTCCAGCAGCGTAGGCATGCTTGAAGAGCACACGCTCGAATTCGTGGTTCAGCAGACCAGCACAGCTTTCGAAACCAGCACCGCCCCAAGGCTGGAAGCCACCACCTTGAAACTTTGAGGCGTTAGTATTAGGGTCTTCGTTTTGCAGATGCCGCTTGGGCCATAACGTACCTCGACAATCGTAAACGGGGTGTTGGGGGATATTTCCCGATGACGCTGAAGCCAGTCCGTAGGCAGGCCCTGAGCAGGCCACTGGTTCGGGTTCCAGCAGTCAAACCCGAGTGGGTAGGAGTCGAAACCGTAGATGTCAACGCTAGCAGGAGTGGTAGGCGTGACGCCGCCTAGTTTCCATGCCTCATTGTTGACGTAGGGAACAACGACGCCCACGCTGCGGAACTGGTTGTCGACATAGCTCCAGTAGTTGAAGTCAGGGAAAGGGTAGGGCTCGACGGCGAACATGTATTCGTTTTCCATCTGAAATAGGATCACCGGGCCACCGTTGGTGATTTGGGCATCAGCAATGATGCGGCCAATCTCTGCAGTGTAGCTGTGCAGGTCAGTCACTGCGCAGAAACGTCTCTTGGCAGCGGCACACTGTGCTTACTTGTCGGTCGCCTTCAGGTAGGCCTCATCGCTCGTCCTCAGTGCTCCCTGAACCCGCTGGAGCCAGCCAGGAAAGCCTCCGCCGGTAACTTCAGCGTTGACATAGGGTCCGGGCCGCTGCCATGAGTTAGGTCAGCTGTTGCCCTCATACAGCAGTCGCACCCGAGCTTGAACGTACGGCAAAGAGATAGAGGCCGGCTTTTTGGGCGGCCTCGAAGAGGGGCTCCAGAGAAAAGATGCCCTCAGCGCGGACCTCGCCAGGCTTTGCCTCGACGAGACCCCAATTGACGTAGAACGAAACGCAGTTGTAGCCCATGGCCTTGATCTTCTGCAGGATGTCAAGCCACAGACTGGGAACTGGCATTCTTCATCTATTGTCAGTGTATCCTGATCCCAGCAGAGGACACAAAGCCCATACCTGAAAGCGTGGAACTCGGCGCTGAAGAGCATCAGCCTCTCGCCGTTGATCAAGACGCTGTTGCCATCATAGGTGACCTGTGAAAGAGTAAGTATCAGATACGCTGAGCACAAGACATTCTCGACGCTGAAGCAGGCGCGAAGGTTCAGGTAGCTGAATGTAGCGGTCTCTTGGGGCATACGACCCGTTCCGACTATACTCACAATCTTCTGTTGTCTCTCATGGAGGCTTTGAATGCCCGCATCCGCGGCAACTGCACTGACTCCAGAGAGCCATGTGGAGGCCAGCAAAGGCAAGATCTGGAGACGTGACAGCAGCATTGTTACGAAGCTCTGCACAATGGTCTTGAATCGCAAGTCAACAGACAGACGATGTGATCGACATCCCCTTCAATGCTGCCCCGTGCAAGCTGGGCGACGGGATCTATTTCATTCCCAAACCCCCATTTTCCCACACGGCGCATTGCAACCCGTCGGGATGCTACCATGTCCATGCAAGTCGTGGCGTAGCGGCGGAATTGGCAGGCCGAGAATGGCTCGTCGATCTCAGGCACAGTCCATCGCCATCTGTTCTGGTCGGTCCTGCAGATCGACATGGATTCCCCTCATCCCCCAGAGAGGGGAAAGCAAGTCGTCGGGAGCAGGGGGGTGAGGATCAGTGGCACGACATGCGCCATGATGTAGGTCGCGCGAACCTCTGCCGACAAAAGCCAACTGACGTCGGGAGCCGCGGACAGCTCCCTAATCGGCCTCCCTCCGTCGGCGTCGGATATTTGGCTTTGAAAAAGACGCGGGGAGGATCCTTGTCGCGGGCCGGTCGACCGGCGCATTGCCCCTCTTGCTGCTGGGTTATCATAGAACCCGTCCATACAAGACCTGGCGGCACTGCTGGATGCATGGGAGCGAAGGGAGCGGGGAACTCTAATGGCTCCTCGTACAAGTTTTCCGACCTGGTCGCCAGGGGAGGACGACAGGACATGATTCTGATCTGGTGGTGCGTATGAAGCAATCGAACGGCCCGATTTCCAACAGTCGAGCTGTTTGCCCGTCGTTCGACTTTAGCCGCTTTCAGGAAATTGGCCCCAAGTTGGTGAGTATAGGACGATCCGAGGATGGGCATCATTACAAGCTAGGTGGTTTGCTGCATGGGCTTGCTCCCCGGTCCTGGATTGAAGATCGCAGGGACTTGTGTGAATTGGAGTCTGGCGGCAGCGTATCTTTATCAATGGGGGCCCAGCGCTTAGTCGGCCTTTCGAAGTGCTATTGGATAGAAGCTCAAGGGGTTAGCAGTGCTACTGATCTGTGTCTCGTTTCTTGCACCGACTTTGACTATTGCATTCTCCGGCTGCTGGCCATCTTCGCACTCTTATCAAAGATAAGGGCCATTTGCAACCTCTTTGTGTTAGTCTAGTTATAGTTCAGTACTATGACGAGGAAAAGATTGAGGACCGCAGGAGATCAAACACCCACTAGGTGACTCCGCCTTAGGTCGGGTGGTGAACCCAGCCAGAAAAGAGACCGGACCCAGGAGGGGACAATGAGGGAGACGTTTGAGGCTGGTTTATTGTTATCGGTCACAAATCACAAATCGGAGAGTTTACCTCCTGCGATATATATCTTTTTCCTCCACAGCCAGTGAAAAGGACTCGATGGGCACTGAATCCATAGGTATACCTATGGACTGCTCGGCGGCTGGCCTACTTAAGCGAATGGTAGGTAACAACGACGTAATGAGCTTTAGGATCAGGTCGCCAAACATTCCAGGACGAGGGATATGCGGAGCACGAAGCTTTAGATGAAGGCAGAGTGAAGGCATCGCCATTGCTGAGATCCACCTAAAATGCGGGTTCACATGGTGTTGTTCTGAGCCACAGCGCCACCCGTACAGTGCTTGAACCACTGGCAACTGCCAATGCACGGTGTCAAAGCCACTGAAAGAGATGACACTCCCTGATCCCTCCATCTGACCATCTTCTCAATACCTTGCACCTCCACAAAACGCCTTTTTGCTGAACGCTGAGGCCCGATCACGCAACTTTGGTCATCGGAGGGCTGCATAATCGACCTTCACTTGTGCTGTACAGAAATACGCTCTTCGTAAGCATGGCGGCCGATGAGCCAGACTGGCGGCCCGCTGTCTCTGCGAGCGATCGCTTCGAGAACATACAAAGCATGTAAGCCAAATGATCCTCAATCAGGCTCAAAGCCGCCAGATGTAACATCTTTCCTGACTGGTTGGCAGCAAAATCGCATTGGAGGGAGCAAATCCTAAGGTTGCAGCGACCGCACAATCTGAGGCCTTTGCTCTCGAGAACCAAGCTTTCAGGGATAGCGCCAGCCGGGTAAGGTCTTCTGTGTACGTTGCATCGGCAGAAAACCTGCTGTTAATAACAGTCTTGAAGCACAGAAACAGTATGAAGACGCGTGCCGCTTGGTTCGAGATGTCTCACCCCCGCTAGCCGAGGCTGCGGACTCTGGCGAGGGCCATCTATCGGAGGTAGGAATTGCCATCGGGCCTTACGAGAACTGCATGCCAGTTGCAGAAGGCGTGACGTCGGAGGTTTTCCGATGTAAAGATCGAGCCCTGAAGGTGATTGTCGAAACGCGCAATATTGAGCCACACAACCCACAGCGCGAGGCCAAAATTCTCGCCCTTCTCAAACGGCCATGTATCCCCTTACTCGAAACTTTCCGAGACCACGAGCAGCGCTTCGTTCTGGTTTTTCCATACATGCCACTCACTCTCGCCGATGTGCTTGAACAAAAACTATTGCCGGCGACCTGCATTCGGAGCATTTTCACAGATGTGTTCACCGCCTTAAGGGACATACACGCACAGGGCATCATTCACCGCGACATCAAACCAGCGGCCATTCTCCTACAGAATCCGGAGGGACCAGCACTGCTCTCTGACTTTGGCACCGCATGGCACCCGAACATGTCGATCATATCTGAGCCCGCAGATAACAAGATTCTCGACATTGGCACGGGCTCATACCGTGCTCCGGAGTGTCTCTTCGGCGACAAGTCTTACGGAACTGGTGTTGACATTTGGGCCACGGGCACCATGCTTGCTGAAGCCTGTCGCTATCCACCCATACCCCTTTTTGAGTCACGGCCAACACATGAGGATGGCAATCAACTGGGTTTGATCTTGAGCATCTTCAAAACACTCGGAACGCCCACGAAAGAGACATGGCCAGAGGCCGCTACATATAAGACGCCGCCTTTTGAGATGTACAGAACGATCGAGGGGAAGGCCTGGGAGGACATCCTGCCGAACATCGACCCTAGCATCCGTGACTTAGTCGCCAGCATGGTTCGATTCGACTCGAGCAGGATGACCGCTCAAGAGGTGCGTATTCTCTTGTCAACTATCATTCGGCTCATGATCTAACAGTGCAAAGGCCTTGCTTCACCACTTCATGACTGAACAGACTGGTTGATTAAATCTGACCTTCCATTTCTGGCACTCCCCCGTAAATGACTTCTCCGCGTACTGGGTTAAGTTGGCAGAAACCTCGGCAAAACGGCAAAGTTAGAGAGTCAACACATTTGGGCAGAGAGGCCGACCAACGGGCATGAGATCGAGTATTACAGACGAATGTGCACCAAGAAGGAGTTCTCAGCCCCTGAAAGGACTACATTCTACGGACTAAGATCTCCTTTACCATCCTCCTTTGTTCTCGGCTAGCAGTCGTGTCATCGTAGACTCCTTTACTCTTAGCTGCGATGCATCCTCTGACAAAGGAACCAACGGACAGCATATCAGTCTCGATCCGAGTCAATTTCTCCGTCAGCACAAGTTACGTTCACATATACCCACATAGAACCACTTTGTTAAAACAACAACCACGAGAGCCTCGTCGAGATGTATCCCAGTGCTATTCTCAATGCATTCATGGCCCGCGGCAAGCCGAAAGGCCACGGCATCAAGATCAAGCCCCAGTCTACAGACCGGCTCCTCGCCATAACCAATGCCCTCCCCGACGAAACGGTCGAAACGGCCGCCCAGGCGATCCTGCGCGAGCGAGCCCTCGACACATCCGTTCCTTACAACGAGCGCGTTCAGATGCTCCAAGAGGAAGGCATGTCCAACCGTCAGATTCAGGCCATGATCAACCCGCACGCCATCGCCGACCTCAACGACAAGAATCCCGGCGGGCGCACGCTACACCATTGCCCGAAGAAGAAGCACGGCATGGACCAGGCGCGCTGCATCAAGGACGGCTGCATCATCGAGTGCCCAAAGTGCGGCGCCTACATCTCCGCCGGGTTCGGGTCCAGGTGCAGAGGCTGCGAGACGAGGCAGTTTACGAAGCAGAGAGAGGAGCAGGATGCCGCGCGTGCCGAGAAGGAGAGGCAAAAGGCGGAGGAAGAGGAGAGGGAGAAGTCCGCGGGCCTCACGGGCCGGAAGAAGGACAAACCCAGGTGGAGTGACCATAAGCGTGAGTTTCAGGCGCATGCGAGAATGGCTCGCGTCGTTGCCGGCCGTGTCAGCAAGAAGCGGAAGGGCGAAGAACCTCACGCAGACGCTGTATGGAGAGCGCTGCTTGCTGAAACTTCTGGCACGGACGATGGCGGCGATGATGACGTGGAGTACGAAATGGAGGAGATGGGTCGGATGGATCCCGAGCGACGCAGGTTGTGCGAAATTGTGATCGCGTCTTGGCTCATTGAGCACCATCGAGACCTTCTTTTCTAAGTCGACTCTTCTAAGTCTACTCTTCTAAGTCTACTCTTCTAAGTCTACTCTTCTAAGTCGATATAGGTCGCATGTGCCATTATTAATTATTGGGGTCTCACGACAGCAAGAATCTCGGTGATAACACAATCAGTGTCTATTCTTCGAATGCTCCATACCACCACGTCCATGCAATGACAGCTGCAAATCTATAGACCGGTTTCACAAGACCGCTCCTACACGAAGTACCCAATTGCTTGGCCTCTGACTTTTAAGTGGCCAACCGTTACGTTTTGTTTTGTTTGCTGTGTCTTAGGCTCTTAGGCTGTGATACTCTATTACTTTACGCAGCTGCTGCCCTCCTCGTCTTCACATCCGAGCCAAGATAGTCGATCGGGTTACGACACAGAGGGCATGTGTTCTGGTTACTGCTCTGGAACCACTTATACAAGCAGGTTCGGTGGAAGAGATTTTTGCAGGTCGAACATTTCTTATCCGGCATCTTCTTATCCGTTGAGATGATGGAGTAGCAAATGGCGCACTCGCTCTGACCCTTGAGGGCGCCAACGATGTTGCGACGGAAGGTGGTGAGGCCGTCAATGATGCTGCCGTTCTGTTGGGATGTCAGGAACGTGCTGTTATCCAGAGCGCGGAATCGTGATGCAAGGGGGGAAGAAAACTTACCGAGAACGTAATGACACCCTGAGTCGTCATCAACCAGCTCTGCCACTTGCGCTCATTGACCGCAACTCTGTTGAGTCCGACGACGTTGACGCCTTCAAGAGGGTAGCCCGCCGGGACTCGAATGGCGATGGACGCCAGTGACTCGTCGACTTCGTATCCAGCTGTGATTTCCTTGGCCGTCGGGCTTACCTTGACGACCAACTCGTTCTCATCTGCAGCCGGTGCCTCTTGCGACGACGCCCAGACGGCAACTTCGTCGAGAACCTCGGAGATGATCAAGGGTGAGAAGTATTTGATCATCCATGCCTCCACTGCAATCTTGGTCTGCTTCGAGCGGCACTCTATGTACCAGGCCCTGAAAAGACCAGGAATATACTTCAAAGTCAAATAATACAGGTGGACGAGGAGCCAGTGCAAATTCTTTTCCTCAGGTTCTGAATCGGCAACCTTGAGGTCGTAGGATTTGATCTGCTCGATTGCGAGTCCCTCGCGATCGAGGTTTAAGGCGTGGGCGGCAGAGTGGCCGAGAACATCAAACGTAAACTCCATCAGAGGGCCGACGTAATTCTCGGTCTTCAAGTGCTCAGTATAGTCGTTTCGAACCTTCAGAGATGCGGTGCTGTAGGCGTCGAAGACGAGGCACCATGTAAGGAGGTAAGATCGTATCGCCGTGGGAAATTGGGCGAGAACCTCGTCTGAATACTTTTCTAGGGTCGGCGCCTCTAGCAGTAGAGAGAGCAATTCATCAGGTAGACGCGCGTCTGTTACGGTCATCAGTACCGGTCAACCATCTTCGAGATAAAAACATAACATACCAGACTTCTCCAAAAGAACATCAATCGACAGCTGCTCTTGTTTGGCTGGCAATGACCGGTGAAGCAAGCTGAAGGCAGCAGTTTGAATGTCGCGCGACTCTGAAGACACAAGACCATAGAGGTCTGAGAGGTCGGCAACATGCTTCAGTGGGATCTTCTCAACCTGGCGGCAGATGAGACCGTCAATAATCTCTAGCGGCTGCGTGCTCTTCTCCCTCGGCATCTCAAGAAGCGTCAAGAGAGCACGCGATTTGTTCTCGGCGGATTCCTTAATGGCGTCCACCAGGTCATCGTTAGGCTCAGAGATAGACTCGAGGGCATTCATAAGCCTCAGAGACGCATGGATGTAAGGAATAGCGTCCTCTAGATCATCAGATGCAGCCTTGGACCAGAGCGTCGTGCAGAACTCAATCGTGCGCTCCCAGTGCGGTCCATATACGTCTTTTATGCTGGGAAGCAGCATGTGCAATGCTCGACAAATCTCCGCCGACAGAACTGGGCTCAAGCCAACCGGGTCGTCTAGCCAAGAGGTGATTTGACGGATCGCAAATACCAATCGATTGTTAGCAACGGGTATCTCTCCGACACCAAACACTCGGGTGCAGGTGTTGAGGAGCACAAGCGTGGGCAAGGTCTTCTCGGATTGGGCTGAAATTCCTGCTGCATCGCTAATCAGGCGGTTGCAAAGCGTATTGACGAGCTTCGATGACTGCAGCACCTCCCCAAATCCGTCTAAGAGAGCAACAGCGCCGAGAATAGTCGTAGGTGATGCCTTCACCGCGTCAAAGTTGGCAAGCACATCATCGACCGACGAGGGTGGGCCATGATGATCTGTCAGAGTCCCGATAAGGTCATTCAGGGCTCTGGCGCTGTAGAGACCCAACGGCGTCAGGTCTCTTGTCTTTGTGACCATCAGTTCAAGCAAGCCGTTGACCAACTCTGTGGTTCCAGCACTCGTTCCATGACTCCATCCAGTTGCCTTCTCTGCAAGCTCGTGGATTGCGGCTCGGGAAGTCGAGACCAGGCTTTCCGCTGACGGCAGAGAATTCTTGTATGCTAGACTGGCCCATAGTTTGTGAGTATCCTTCAACGTGATTTGATCCGACGTCAGTTGAATTGAAACTGCAAGAAGCAAGAGAATCTTGACATCGGACTTCTCCAGCAACCCCCGAGGATTGATGTGGGATGCAAGAAGCTGAGCAGTGTAGAGCGCCATGCGGGCCGGAATAGAGCGCCCTTCCCGATCTCTTCGTATGCGTTTCTGCTCATCGGAGTCTTCAGGCTGGACCAGGAAATGAGCTCCTGCAATATTGCTCGTGATTGCCAGTGAAGGATCTACGTCGCTTTGGAGGAATATTTGCAACTCTTGCATCCATATAGTAGTGTTTGGGAGTAGATCTTTGATAGCGACATCGCCGCCCTCGGCGGCTTGGATAGCTTGGTGACATAGTGTTTCGATACTATCATCAGTCAGTGATCAGTTGCTTTCGGACTATAGACATATAATGCAACATACCCAAGTGATTGCTGATTCGCATCTTCCAAGTTTCTTTGTATGATTGCCACTGCGGCTTGCTTGCCGCCTGATGGCTTGTCGATGAGAGATCGCAATGTGCTAGCACGGGATGAGATGGTAGAATCGTCCAATTCAGCTAGGCCAAGTAAAGATGTAATGAGAGCCATGTGCGTTGTATCATCCCGTGAAAGTTGCGTAGGGTTGCGGCTGGCAATAATCTCGAGGGCTCGTACGGCATTGTCGGTTTGTTTTTTGTCTCGGCCGAGAAGAGTGAGTGCCTCTTGAACGATACTTTCCGATACACGATCAGTGACAGTTTCTTTGATGAAGGCCTCCTCTAGGAATGACCATGCATCGGTAGAACCTTGCAAGGATTGAGACGCTTTTGCTGCCAACAAGTCCTGGTAGCCTGCATGAGAAGAGGCAAACGTTACTCCACCTTGTGACGTTGCTAAACTTCCGATAGCTTCGAGTGCTGCAGGCTGCTCTTGCTGAAGGATAAGTGTGTCGATCCAAGTCTTCCAAATCGTGAGGAATGCTGCGTGTTGGTTTTGTGAAGCTCCCAAGCCTGATACACAGGCGACGAGGTCTTGACGCGACCGTGAGGCAAGGATTAAGTCCATGTGGTCACGGCCCTGCTCATGTAGGAATTTCTCGAATGCTGTCAGAACGGATTTGTCTTCCCAAATGAAGGAAGCATGTCGGCCGACACTGTGCAGTACGCTCGCAGCGCCATAAGGCTTGAGATTTCTGTTCGCCAGCAATTCAATGGCGCGAAACACGATGTCCTTGGATGGACGGTCCAGGACCTGCGTTTTCTGGTGCGCGGCAGGCATTTTGGTGTGGATTTGACCGACAAGTGAGAACCACCGGTCGCCCTCTTGGGCAACGGCATCTTGTGACTTTTCGTAGTCTTTCGACACCTCTGGAAGGGAGTTGGATATCTTGGAACATAATTCGGCAGATAGCCGCTGCCATGCATCTGCAGTCTCTGTTTGAGCCCCGTCAAGGTGACGGTCTATGGTGATGCCGAATGCTTCCACAAGAACCAGTGTACCTGCTTTGCCTCCCACGTCCCATCCCGTCGTTTCCGTCGTGGGTTTCAGGTAGTGGCTGATGAGAGGGAAAATATGGTCAAGAAGGAATTGAGATTGAGGGCCGTCGGACGGCAACAAGGCGAGAAAGTGCCGTGCGGCGCGAACGTAGCATGTCCAGGCTGATGGCGCGTTGATCCGAGGTTCTCCACGACTCGCAATACCGACTCTCAACGACCTTAGAATGTCGGACACGGATTCGTGAGTCAGTTGTTCGGTTGGAAGTACTGTGAGCAACTGCTCCAGGTAGCCCCAGAACTTGACCGAGCTACCCTGCGACCCCTTTTCCAAGAAAAGCTGTAGACGAGAGATTGGCGTCTTCTTGTCGCTGCTTGATGACCAGATCTCGGGGAACTTTTGCGTCAAGCGGGTAAGGACCCTCACATACTCAACTGCAGAGCCGGTCTGGTTGCTCTTAAGTCCTTCTGTGACAAAGATCTTCTTCAGTCTTGACACTTGTGATGCGACAGAATCGTGTCTCTTCTCCAAACAGACCCATAGAAGCTCGCAGGTGACCTTCCTGACTGCTGAGTCGGCAAAGGTCGCACTCTTCCATACCACGTCCTCCGAGAAGAAGATGTCGTACGAATCCGCCTCGGCGTCAAGATCGGCTTGCTCCAGCTTCTGTAGTAGTTCAAGGACCAAAGACAGACTTGAGTTTACGACACGGTAGTATTTCGCCTCCGCATCGTCGGCCGTCGTCGATCGTTCGTCGCTAAGGGTATCTTTGGTTTCTCGTATCGCGTCGGCCGCGTACGTGAGAATCTGAGGCTGGCATTTCTTCCAGAAAGCGAGGACCTTGTCGATGTTAGTCAGCAAGGACGAGAGGCCTTGGCTGGCCGCGTTTGCGACTGCGCGATCCTTGTCTGTTGTGCCCGCGAGCCAGGTGCCAACCACTTTCGGCACCCGTTTCTCCATGCGCTTTCTCGCAGATTTCATGAGCTCGAATTGCAGGGTATGCGAGAGCTCGCGCGCCCGTCGGGCATTGTCTATTGAGATACGAGGGTACACTTGAACCTATTATATACATTACTAGCTGCTCGCACACAAGTTCGCAGGCACCAGGGGGACGCACCCAAGCTTCCAGAATCGCCTCTTCGGGCCCTCCATGCTGCTCGTGAGGGTGCGCTCTCACATATGCCACGAGCTCCTCCAGGGCTTTTGTCTTGGTTGTGGCATCTTTCTTGAGCAAGTTCTTGAAGGCGACACCAACATTCGCATCAGAAATGGAGGAGAAATCGGGAGGCTCGGTCAGGTAGGAGAGACCGCTGCCGGTCTGGGTTGACGAGAAGCCGCCGAATCCTGACGTACCCGGGTGGGAGCTGCTGGAAAAGGCACTGGCGCCAGGAAAGCGAGAGCTTCTACCTTGAGCTCGTGACATCGGGGGCAAAGGTGCGGGCGATGGTGCCGCGATGGGGGGAGTGTCGAAATGAGGTGTTAGGCGGGGGAAGAGTCGGCGCTGGCTTGACCTAACGAGCGCTTCGGAGTTGCGCGACGCGACAATGAAAAGCTTCGCAAACAGAAGGATGGAAAAAAAAAATAGCGGCGTCAGCTATCATGGGTCTCGTCGGCGCGAGGTCTTTTTTTCCTTCCGGTTTGAGGCGAGTGCCCGTTTGGCGTGCTCAGCAGTTGACTCAGGCCGATCAGATTTTGGAGTAGCCCCTCCATCGGTCTCAAGGTAGGAACTGACTGACCGATGCTGTCATGGTGGGGCACTGAGCGAACTGAGACACGTGATGACACTTCTCACGCCCAAGGTGGGCGAAAGTAGGCGAGCCTACGATGATTGGCTCGCATGGTGGGTTTCACAGGGTAGGGGGCAAGTGGATCATTACCCCGCGTTGGCTGAGCCTCCGCCCACGTCGCCCATTGGCCGAATCCCGATTAGCGTGTCTTATCGCGGGCAATGGCGGCAATGAGGCCTCGCATTCGCCCGACCTCATCCGGCTGGAAGGCAGGCACCCCCATTCGGCCACTTCCCCAGGTGCGCGCGCCCCCAAAGCGCCTGACCTCGAGCTCGTTGAGCCGAAGAAGGAAGCAACAGCTGGTTTCCTTTGTTTTTACTTCTCCAGCACTTGACCTGGTATTTCAATCTTTCTCTCCTTCTACTTATTCCTTCATGCTCCTGCATCCAACATCACACGAGCGCCGGTGATCTTTCCACATCCCCATGTAAGTCGTCTCACTTTCACACCCAACCCCTGGTCTCTTTGCGCACCCTGGCCTTACGTGCCTTGAATCACCCATGTAAAGCACGGGCTGCCACCTTCGTCATTCCTGATTTCTCCGCACTTGTACCAGGCCTCAGAGAGAACAAATGTCGCATGCTCCCCGACTCTTTACATAGGTTGAGACCAAGTTCGTGTCTGCTCACCTCTTCTTCTCTCAGTTATTAGCATGATATAGACTGCCGTAGCTCGTCTTCACCATGTTGACGACAACTGCATCCTCTGCCTCGGCTCGAGCCAAGCTTCTCCAAAGTGCCTCATCTACATCCACCACTCGTGCCCTGACAGCTTCATTATACCGCGGGCAGGCCCGCACCCACCTCACAAGCCGAGGGTCTGGCAACGATCCGACACCATCATTGACAAGTCCCTACGCTCCAATTGACCCCATCACCAATCGTAGGATCCCTACGTACACTGAACGCAACACGATCCTCGCCAAAGCCCTGAAGGCTAGTTTCCTCAGGACGCCAGTGCATTCGGATGGCCCACCATCGGCCCAGGAGCTGCGTAAATACCGCCAGGTCGATATTGACGATCAGCCATGGGTTACCGTTCAGCTTAGGTCCAACAAATACTCCGATCTCAACGGATACAAGCCCGTCCTGAGCAGCTCTGCCCCAACCCACGCCAGCTCAGCGCAGAAGTACAGCGATCTCCACAAATATAAACCGCTCGTTGATCAGGTGGATACCGCTCACGATGTCGAGCCGAAATACAATGATCTCCACAAATACGGCCCCGTTGATGTCCACAACGCCGCATCTTCGGCACCTGCGGCGACCGAGGGCACTCACAAGTATAAAGACCTTCACAAGTACGTCCCTGTCGCATGGAGGGAACCCCATGGGGAGGCCCCGCCATCTGCCGAAGAGAAGTCGAAACATTACTCAGATCTGGACAAATACCGCCCTATCAGCTTTAATGAACCGAATGGCAACCTTCCTCCTACTGCAGAGGAAGTATCCAAACAATATTCCGACCTGGACAGTTATCAGCCAGTGCGTTTCAACGAGCCAAGTGGGAAATTGCCGCTCACACAGGAAGAGCTTTCCAAGCAATACACGGATCTTGGCGCGTACCGTGCCGTGCAGTTCAATGAACCCCACGGAAAGCCCCCGCTCACCCCCGAGGAGCTTTCCAAGCAATACACGGATCTTGATGAATACCGTCCCGTGCGATTCAATGAGCCCGATGGGAAGCTGCCGCCTACACAAGAAGAGCTCTCTAAACAGTACACAGATCTGAACGAGTATCGTGCTGTGCGGTTCAACGAACCCACTGGGAAGCTTCCACCCACCCAAGAAGAGCTCTCAAAGCAGTACACAGATCTGGACAACTACCATGCTGTGCGATTCAACGAACCCAACGGGAAACTCCCACCCACCTCTGAGGAGCTTTCAAAGAACTACACGGACCTGGACAAATACGGGCCAGTGCGATTCAATGAACCAGATGGTAAACTTCCTCCTTCGGCTGAAGAGGTCTCGAAGCAGTACACCGACCTCGACCAATATCAGCCCGTACTGTTTAACGAGCCCAATGGCAAACTGCCACCAACATCCGAGGAACTTTCTAAGCAGTATGATGATCTGCACAAGTATGGTCCTGTCTATTGGAATGAACCCAACGGGAAACTTCCGATCAGTGCCGAAGAGCAGTCGAAATTCTACGCCGATCTAGACAGTTACGGACCTGTCATGTGGAACGAGCCCAATGGCCAATTGCCACCAACTGCTGAGGAGCGATCCAAGCACTACACAGACTTGGACGCATATGGTCAGCCCGTCATGTGGAACGAACCGAATGGCAAGTTTCCCATGTCTGCCGAAGAGCGCTCGAAGAAGTATCAAGACCTTGATAAGTATGGACCGGTTCAGTGGAACGAGCCCGACGGGAACCTTCCCCTTACCCCAGAGGAACTTTCGAAGCGGTACGCGGACTTGGATGCCTACCAGCCTGTCAGGTGGAATGAGCCCGACGGCCGACCAGCAATGACTGCTGAAGAGGCCAGCAAACAATACGATGACGTCGACAGTTATCAGCCAATTCGGTGGAACGAGCCCGATGGCAAGCCATCTATGAGCCCTGAAGAAGCGAGTAAGCAGTATGATGACTTGGACCAATATGACAGGCCTTTTGCTCACAACGAACCTGACGGCAAGCCCGCCATTACTCCAGAGGAAGCCAGCAAGCCATATAACGATCTCGACCAATACAAGCCAGTCCGCTGGAACGAGCCCAACGGGCAACCTCCTATGGACCCCGAAGAAGCCAGCAAGCGTTACAAGGACCTCTCCGACTACTCCGAGCCATTCCAGCACAATGAGCCCGATGGCAGACCTCCCGCGCAGCAAAAAAAATCCGCTGTAACAGAAGATTTGTTCAACTACGGAGCTTTTCGTTACAATGAACCTGACGGCAAGGCAGAGGATATTGATCTGCTGCGCGCAAGCGATCTGCGTGCCAAGTCATTGCAGTCTGCGAGTGCAACTCAAAAGATGCGCGCTGCGCTGGACACGGAATCATTGGAAAGAGACAATTCACGGCATGGTCGGGAATGGGAGAATGCGAACAAGGCAGCCAAGACCACCCTCAAGCAGTCCAAGATAAAGTCGCAGGACTCGAGTGAGGCGACCCGAAATGTCACTGGCAACTATGTGAAGGACTTCCCCGAGGATTTCGCCGTCTCTTGGAGCGCGATGCTTGGGCAAAATGATGCCGCAATGGAATATCAAAAGAAACTCGAAAACGGCACGCGGGAGCCGGAGCAAGGCGATGAGGACATTGCATCCTTTGACGAGAGTTTTCCCAAGCTTGAGTCCACCATAGAACCCCAAGCTTTCACTCCAGCTCTGCACAAAATCGAGCCGGCGTTGAACCGTGGGTCATCTCTCCTTGACAGCCAGAAGCGGGCTGATCGACTGCGTACACTCGCAGATCCATACTCTACGGAGCCTCAAGGACTAGAGCTCAGCTACCTGCAGGAATGCGGCGGCAAGCCTACTGGTCCTACTTTTGTCAGAACCTATGGAACAGTTAGCGACGCTGTCTCGGCTGCCGCAACACAGGCAAAGGCAGCCTCTAATGCAGCTGAGCCTGCCAGGGAGGCGGCTCCCAAGCCATCATACTACAAGATTCTGGCTTTCGATCCGACGACCAATTCCATTAGCACTGCTGAGACGTCGTCGCTTGCCATAGACAGCTCTGTCCCACTGACACCACCAGAGGCAATGATGCGTCTGTCCAATCCCGTCAAGTTCTTCCCGCACCTAGCACCACTTCAGGCGCAGGGGTACGAGATTGTCTCTGGGAACGGAGACGTCCTTGTGTTTCGCAAGGTCCGCAACGCCCAGCAAGAGACGATCAGCACTCGTTCGACAACGGAACAGGCCACGAGATACCAGCCCCCAAGGGTGAACCCCATTGACATGATGGGCAGTCAGCCCGTCACCCCACACTCATACTCGGCGAGCCCGACAGGGTTCGTGAACTTTGAAGATGACAGTGCCGAAGTGGACCAGAAGCCACCCCCACCTTACCGAGGAGGCTACGGCGCATCAGGTGCGGGCCCTGCTGCCAGCGGGTTTGCAGCAGACGAGGAGCCAAAGAGGGCCGGCAAGGCCAAGAAGGTACTGTTGGGTGCCGCGTGGGTTGGAGGCATTTCGTATGCTTTCGGTACCGTTGGCCAGTACTTCAGGACGGGTGGTGCTGATGGGAAGGGTCCAGGGGAACGGCTATGATGTCGTCCAAATGCATGGACGGATGAACGAGACTCGATCTATTTCATTGTTTTGATTTCTTTTCTTCCTTCATTTTTTTTGGTGTTCCATGGAGCTGGGCAGGATTGGGTTGCAAATGTTTTTCTGATACCACACGACTGAGATTGGGACCGTTCTGGTGCGGCATGACACCGCTATCTTCTGATTCGAACTGCTTTTGGTTTGTATCGAAGTTGGGCTAGTATCGCCCTTCCTCGACCTGTATGATTAGGGGCTCGCCAAGCGACGCACCATACTCTACTCGGCGTTCTCGCTCTCACTCTTTTGGCTACGGCCACAACAGCGCATCTAGGCAGGCAGGTAGCATAGGATAGTATAGGATAGGAGCCATTTTGAATCAATCTTTTGGATATATTACTCGAATCGAGATGCTGTGCCTTCTGGAGCTATCTGCACCGTGACAGTCTTCTGTTGCTCAAGGCCATACCATGATGAACACCGGATTCCTGATCAGACCCTGGATCCTCAATTTTATTTTTTTCAGTCTCGCAGTCCCGCTCGCCCACGGTCTGATGCAGGCAATTTACATATAGGGTGGTCAACAATGGGCGGAAACAAAATTACGTCCGCTCCGTGAAGCCGGGCCCCGTCTTGACGCGCTCGTTGATATGGCTCATCTGCAGCTCGCGCTTCTGGTCCTCCTGCTTCCAGCTCTGGCGGCGCTCAAAGGCGGGCGGCGTCCAGCTGTTTGTGTGCTCTATGGCGCGGGCGGCCTCGGCGGCGGCGTGGGGCGACTGCTGGCTCTGCGCGATGGGGACGGCGGTGTTGACGGGAGCTGGTGCCGACATGTTTTGTTGCGATTTTGGTTCCAATGGTACGTACGTTAGCGTTTGTTGACGCAGGTCAGCGTGGATGAGGTGATGCTGGTGGTTCTTGTAGGTGGTGTCTGTGTACAGATGGTGGTAGGATTTGTGTTCGTTGTCAAGACGTGCCAGCCTAATGGGGACGTTGACCCCCCTTCATATAAGTGTAGGACTGCCTTCCCCCCCCCCCCCTATATCACGGGTTGCACCTGCCCACATCTCCGATCGGGGGGCGTTTCGCTGCTTCTCCTGCCCACCTACCCGCTGGGGCGCGTTTGTTGCCGCCCGTCCGCCCCGGCGTGCTGCCGATCGCGAGACCCTAGACTGACATGCGGCGCAAAATGAGGTGAGCACACTCGGGGTCCTTCCCCCCCTCCTCCCTCTCGCGTGGCTTGGGTCTAGGCATGCTGTTGCGGGGTAGGTACCTTAGGTAGAAGCAAAGCGGGCTGGTTGCCTGACGCTGCAGGACGAAGGGGGTGCTGGAGGAATGCGTGCGAATGGCCCGGTAACGCTGCCTGTCTTGTGTACCTTACCTAGGTAGCTGAACCATCCGTTCCCCCCGGAGTACTTCGCAGGCTGGCAGGTCTCGAAGGTGAGAGGTGAGAGGTGCTCGGGGGTCTACGCGAGGGAAGGGCAGGAAACGGTACGACGGGTGTCGTGACCCTCACGGTTTCGATGACTGGCAGTGGTGAGATGTGGGTGCGGGGGATGGGGGTATGGTACGATGCAGTGGCACGCATTCGGGGTAGCGTTGCCCTTCTGTTGTGTGGTGGACTGCACCAGCGTGTTCTCCTTTACCTCGGGCGGGCTGGCAGGTTGGAAGATGCTGGCTGAACGCTGGCCGCGAGTTTTTGCAGTGCATTTGTCACAATTTCGTGGTGGGATGGAACGAGCGACAGCACACTCCGCTCGTGTGGTTGCATCGGGTGCGAGCACGACAGTTCAACGTCATGTCTTGGTGTTGGTGGTGTGCACAAGTCATCCGGGGATCTCGATGTCCCGAACAAACATCTCTCTCAATAGTTGACATGTCACACGGAGGGCGGAAACTAGAGTACTGAGTACTTGCCGTTGAACACTTCAATTCACCCGAGTCAACGTCAGACACCAACTCGCTATCTAATACACGGGCTTTCCCTCCATACTCCATCCCATGCTTCCTTCCGTCCAACCTTCGACGCCAGCCTCGCTGACCATGACATGACGGGGGTATACTTCCATCCTCCCCGACACCGACACCAGAAAAAACCAAGAACAATAGGTAAAGACCACCCGGGACCAATACAGATGACAAGGTCGTCAGGACCTTCATGAGGACTGGCGAAGAAAAAGATACCCCATCTGGGGCTCCGACTATAAAACAAGACAAAGACGCCATTCGCTATGCAGCTATGTGACAAGGGGATAGCGGGCCAAGAAAAAGTATAGACACGGGAAGAGGTCAAGGTGTAAAAAAGGTACAAGCGATCACGGAGTTCGGGGGCGCTTCCAGTAGTATTGCTATTTCCATGGTTAGACCTCGTCGAAATTCTAAGGCAGGTAGGTAGCAGTCATAAAGGGGTAAATGGAACGTACCTTGTGCTGTTTCCTGCACGCCCGCAGACTCGGCTTGCGCAGGCCGTCAGTAACGGCGAGCCTCCGCTGCTCGTCGTCGTCGCCCTCGGGCATGTAGTAGTACTCGCTCTCGAGGGCCTGGCCGGCGGCATCCTTGCCCTGGCGCGAGATGATGCCAATGCAGACGGTGCCCTCGATGATGGAACGCAGCGTGCTCTTCGTGAGGCCACGCTTCTCCTCGGCGGGCAGCGCGTTCATAATGGCAGACAGGGGCGTGGACGAGAGGCGGGAGAAGGCGAGCTGGTTGACGACGTGGTTCTTGACCGTGGGGTTCTCAATCGCTGGTGCAGGCGAGGGTTCACGCTTGGGAGACGGCTCGACCTCCTCCTCCTTCACCTTGGCGAGGATGGGGGACGAGGCGAGAGGAAGCTGGTGTGGCCGCGGGGCACGCTTGGGAGTCGTGGGCTTGGGAGAGCATGTGGTGATCGAGGCGAGACGGTTCGAGATGTTGGCGCCAAAGGGACCAAACGAGTGGACGACGGGGTCGTTCTCTTCATCGGGGTTTTCGTCCTCGTCAGGGTCGCTGAGGTCGGACGAGAACGAGTTGGTCACCTCGGTCATGAAGCTCTGACCAACGTCCGGACCAGGCTCGCCGTGCTTGGGCAAGTCATCCTCGGCGCTGAAGTCCTCAAAGATTTGGATTTCGTCGCTCGCGCTCGCGGGTAGCAGAGACTGGAGGCGCTGCGAGGATGTGTTGGTGGTGGCCGGTGTAGGAGACTCGGGTGTCTCGATACGCGGCGCGCGGCGAATCGGGCTCGACTGAAGAGCGGCAACACCGCGGGCCTGGGGACGCGGCGAGTCCTCCCACGACGAGTCTGAGAGATTGCCGAGGGCATCGCGGAGGTCTTTCTTAGGCCATTGGATCATGAGGCGAGCATCGTGCACGTCCACCATAATCTCGGTGCCCTCCGTCTCCGATGTAAACGAGTCTCCCTTGAGGAGCTCCCACGTGCGGCCCTGGCAGTGCAGCTTCAGTCCGTTCCAGCCATTGCACACAATCTCAATCTTGTTGGGGTGTAGAGGCGAGGCGGCAGGCACGTAGCGGGCCTTGACGTGCACGCGTGACACGAGACGGTTGCCGGAGAGCTGGTAATGGGAAGAGTTGCTGGAGCGGCCCATGAGGAGCGTCTCGCCATTGTCGTTGAGCTCGATGGAAGGAACAGAGGCGAGAGGGGCACGTTCGGCGGAAGAGGAGCCGGGACGTACAATGCTCGGACGGCGGGCGACACGCGGCGGCGAGGACGAGAGGATGCCGGTGCTGGACGTGGGCACAGGCGTGGGATACTTGAGGTGAGCACCAGCACCTCCAACGGAGCCGTCTCGTGCCTGCCTCTTAAGCGGCCGAGGGAACCCTGGCGAGGAGGAAAGAGGCTCGAATGGTGGCAGAAGGGTTGGTGCAGGACGCTTGACGCCGGCGACAGGGAGCACAGGCTCCATGGTTCTCCGAGGCGGCGACGAGTTCATTGTGGACGCGACCAGTCGATGTGAGAATGATGTAGGGTGTTGTAGAAGATTGGCGGAGGGAATCTCGACGTGATTCCCTCTGAATGTGTCGTGATATAGCGCGTCTTCGCGTGTGGAGGCTCAATATCAGACGTGGACGTGGCTCGCGTGTTGCCCAGTCATGTAAGTGTTGGTGCGGCGACCAGTCGATGGGATTCGATATGCAGGAACTATCAGTAGTCGGGGGGAGATTCGAGGTTTCTGTGAGAACCGGACGAGGAATATTGAGTTTCCAAAGAAAGGAGGGGTTATGGATTTCTGCTCGTGTTTCTTCAAGAAGTGGTTGCAGGTCGGGTGGGAAGAGGCCAGGCGAACGTGGTGGTGCGGGACTGGGCCTTTTTGATCTGGGCCTAGCCTTGGGGGGGGGCCGGATGAGAGAGGAGCGTCACGGTTCGTGGTCGTGTTCTGCTGCTGCGGTCTGAGACGCGGCCGCATCGCGTTGGCGTTTAAAGGTGGGCACTGACACGTCCGTCGAGACGCGCTGGATCGGGCTGGGGTGCGCTGTAAGTGCTCTGTAACGAGATCTTCTCCAGGGCATCTGACGCCTGGACCGAGCATTCTCAGGGCACCTCTTACAGGGGTCTCCAGGCATGACGTCGGTGGGTTGTCACGTCCACGGAGCCACGAGCCACGAGCTACGAGCCACGAGCCAGAGAGTGGATTCAATATCTACCCTCCCTCCTCCCTCGTCCCTCATGGTCCTTTAGATATTGAGCCTCAAGTGAAAGAAACGACGTAGAAGTTCCTCCCAATAGTCTGTAACTGCATCCCTCAGTCTCTCTTCCCAATTTTCGCCGGCGCCATCGTCGATCCTCCGTCAAGCACGGCGGCGCGTCGACAAATGCCCGCCATACCCCTCCGGCGGCCGGTCCCCCCCAAAAAGTGCCAGCCTCCCAAATACACGTCTCCACCAACACGCTCCTACTCGCTCTACCAGTGCGCGCCTTCCATGTCAAGCAGGTGCCTTTTTCCGCCCATGGATTCGCTTCTCGCTTCACCTCCGCGGCCAAGTCCCAGCCCAGACAGAAGCCAATTAGCCGCAACATATTTTATGCCCGTCTCCCCCCCAGCAGCGGCAGGCCAGTCCTGTCTTGTCTCGTTGCGCCGCTGCTGATTTGCACAACCGATAATTTCCACAGTCGGCTGTCAGATGTCTGTCTGGTTGTGTGCAAGTCTAACCTTTCCCTTGTTCTCCCTCAGTCGTATCTATATGTGCTCACTGACGTCCCGCCCCTCTGGGATGAAGTCTGGTCGGTCTCACATGATCCCATCACGTCTTGCCTCCCCCCCCCCCCCACCAGCCCAGCCAGGAACGGCTGGCTGGCGCAGTAACGAATCGCGGCGGGCCAACCAATGTCATGACGCTTGCTTTCCCTTGTGTGAAAGCTTTCTGCCCCCCCAAAATGTGAAAGTCAAGTCAAAATAGCCCTCCCCAGCCTGCATGTGCACTCCGCTATGCCACTTCTGGGCGTCCCTGGTCTCCAGAACGCGACTCCTCGCCGAACGCATCTGAGGCCCGCTCGTGCCCCCTCTTCCTGCTGATCTAACCTGCCTCTGTCCTTGGATGCCCAATGGCGGATGAGTGCTGTCAGCGGCGTTGTTGCCAGTGGTTCGCCGGGCTTGCCCGCTCCGCAGACGTTGGGCGTGCGTCGCCTTCTACCTTGCAGCTTGCAGTGTGAACGAGTGAGACGCGAGGTTGGGCAGGGCGGTGATGGCACGGCCATGTGATTGATCAGAAAATCGAGAAGCAAGTTGGACAGGAAGGACCTTGAGTGGCGAGACAAGAAGAACCGGCCACCGCCAATTCACGCAAGGGCGCTGCATGGGATAGAGGCGGCGCAACGGGAACGTATTCTCATGTCGTGGAGGTGTCGGGATGGAGATAACGAAGAGCAATAAAAGAGACATCAGAGGCAGGGTTCAACTTCCATGCGGACCAAAGACAATGAAATACAAAGTCCAGACCAGATCAACACACCAGCAACTCCATGCTAGGTCATTGGTGATGTCTACTTCGGTCAAGATCTCCACCGAAAACCGCTGTCGGTCAAGCGGCCAAACGTGGACCGTGCACTTATCGGGGCCGATCTACCACCTTATCGGCAGTCCAAGACCCCTGCCGGAAAAAAATCTGGACGACTGAACGAAGCTTTTGCGAAGAAAAGTCCCCGCCATATCCAACCACCACCTATTTGGACGGTCACCTCTCAAGTCACCGACTCCATACAACTCAAATCGACACAATGGCCGCTACCAAGGAAATCGCGACGCGGTCGCAGACCTCTGCCGTCACCATTGACCCTGAGCAGGTACATTGAAACCCTCACCGCGATGTCCTCCACCAGTCAACGTAACCAGTGTCTAATGTGAATGGTACAGACCCTCAAGGCCTCCAAGGCTCTCCTCGCCCACATTCAAAAGTCAGCGACCGAGTCGGTGCAAAACTCGGACAAGAAGAAGCTCCTCGAGGACGAGGACGATGTCGCCGCCCAGACGCCCATCTGGCTGACGCTGACGACGAAGCGTCACATTGCCGACACGAACAAGCTCAAGCCCGGCCGCGTTCCCGTGCCGCACAGCTTCCACGCCGAGGACTCGACCATCTGCCTCATCGTCGCCTCGCCCCAGCGCGCCTACAAGGACGCCGTCGACGACGAGGCCTTCCCCGAGGCCCTGCGCAAGCGCATCACCCGCGTCATCGACATCAACCATCTGCAGAAGAAGTTCTCCCAGTACGAGGCGCAACGGAAGCTCTACGCCGAGCACGACATTTTCCTCGGCGACGAGCGCATCGTCACGAGGCTGCCCAAGGTAAGAGAGGCCCCGCTCTGCCGCACGCCGTGCAATGGCAAAACATGGTAGGAGATCTCCGCCAGAGCAGGAATGCTAACGGCCCCGCGCGCAGGCCCTCGGCAAGACCTTCTACAAGTCCACCGCCAAGCGCCCCATCCCCGTCGCCGTGCAGGGGAAGAAGCCCGCGGCCGACGGCAAGAAGGCGGCCAAGCCCAAGAACTCCGAGGCCAACGTCAACCCCGGCACGCCGGCCTACATTGCCGAGCAGATCGAGAAGGCGCTGAGCGCGGCGTACGTCAGCCTGACGCCGTCGACCAACACGGCCGTCAAGATCGGCACGGCCGCCATGACGGCGCAGCAGGTCGCCGACAATGTCAACGCCCTGACGGCCGGCCTCGTCGAGCGCTTCGTGCCGCAGAAGTGGAAGAACGTGCGCGGCATCTACATCAAGGGCCCCGAAACGGTGGCGCTGCCCATCTGGGCCGCTGAAGAGCTCTTCATCGACGACAAGGACGTCGTCGCCGACGCGACCGAGGCCGAGAAGCAGGCCGCCCTCGAGGCGCAGAAGGCCAACGTTGGCAAGAAGCGCAAGTCGGCCCTCGCGGCCGGCGACGACGGTAAGGCGGCTGGCGGCAAGAAGTCCAAGAAGGAGACGGCCGAGGCGGTGCCCGAGGCGGACGACGGCAAGCTCGACGCGCAGATTGCGGAGCGCAAGGAGAAGCTGAAGAAGCAGAAGGCCAAGGCCAAGGCGGCGCTCGAGAACTAAAGAGTAGGAGACACCAAATGTCTGAAGAAGCAAAAAGTAAGAGCGCTGGGCGGTGGACTTATGTATGTACCATGCATGAATGCAGGCGTATGGAGTTGGTCCTTTTTTGTAAGGGGGCTTTTGTCTCGGTCACAAGCAATTTAGAAAGAAGAGACGTGGCAGATGACAATGTTCAATTCACCCAAAGCTAAACCCTAAAAGCAAAATTCATCCCGTCTTCGTATGCCATCACTCGCTACCATATCGTCTCGTCATTACAGCTCCTGGGACCATGCGTCTTGCAGAGGCAGCTCGGGCGCCTCGGCGGCAAACTTCTTGGAAGCTGGACCGAGGAACTCGTGCATCGTGGCGTTGAGTTGCTCGTTGGTGAACTGCATGTGTTCGCCGGGCACCTTCCTGAACTTGAGGCCGCCCTTGCGGTCGAGCGCGCGCAGGCCAATCCAGTCCTCGGTGTACAGCTTGCGCGCGCGCAGCGGCAGGCTCTCGGTGCCGTTGACCTCCTCGAACCACGACGTCTCCTTGGGGATGACGGTCGTGTCGTGCTCGAACATGATCATGACAAAGTTGACGAGGCGGGCCACGTTGTCGGCGTAGGCGCTGTTCTTCGTCGCGCGCTCGTTGTTGATGTCGGCGAGAAAGTTGGACGACTCGATGTACTTCTCATACTCGGTGGGGGCCGGGTCGCGGTAGTACTGGGCGGGGACGAGGCGGTTCTGGACAAAGGAGGACCACTGGTTGAAGCGCAGCAGGGCCATGGCGCCCTTGCAGAGGAGGTCGCCGTCCTTGCAGGCACGGAAGCTGACGATGCCGTTGTGCTGGCTGCCGTAGGTGATGAGGGATCGGACGGGGGGCGCGTTGCAGCGCTCCACGTAGCCGCGAAGGAACTGGCCGCCCTGGGAGAAGCCGATGGCGTCGACGGCCGGGGCCGAGGAGAGGATGGGGTCGGCGGCGATGTCGGCGCAGACCTGCTCGAGCTGGGTCGAGACGTTGCCAAAGAAGGTAGCCGAACGGTCGGCATTGGGGTCGGCGCCAACCTTGACGATGTGGACGTAGATGCCGGGGAAGGCGGCATCGGCCAGTTCAGCGACCTGCTGAATGCCTTCACCGTCGAACGAGTCGCCTAGGCCATGCCAGATGATGAGGGGAAGAGGCGTATCATCGTCGGCATCGGCAGCGGCGACAGATACAGGGCTCTGCCTGGATGCCGTGGCCAGGCAACCTAGAGCAAGCAGGCTGTAGGGAAGAATCGACTTCATGGTGATCGCGCGTAGCAAGTGTGGACAGCAAAGTCCTTGTTCGTGATGTTGATGATCATGCTGTGTTCAAGAACAAGGTGACGCAAGCCAAAAGGCCCTGGATAGGAAGCCAAGCAGGCAGGCAGGCAACTTCGAGCTGTGGCAAGCCGAGCTTCCCATTGGCCGCGTCCAGGACAAGGCGCTTGGAATCGGCGATATGATGGTCCGCTCCCTCCAGGCTCCACTCGCGGCATGTCGGCCACAAGCACCGGCACGTCGTCCGGCGAAACAGTGGAACTCGCAGGGAGAGTCAACGCGGTATGCACGGCCCTTCACCCCAACTCCAGTCAGTCAGTCACCTTACCTCGACTCGAGATCGAATGTCCATGCGGGCGTGCCATCGTACATCCCACGTTCGTTAGAATTGACATCGTTCCTCCCACCTTGGACGTCTGCTTCAGAATTGTCCGCGTCGCATAGCGCAGCCAAGTCCGGAGATGCTAACGCGATCTGCTGATCTTCGCACCATGGTCAGGGAAACGTCCCGTTTTTGGCCTGCAGGGTCGATGGCGCGGCGAACTCTTCGTGGCTCCTGAAACGGATACTGCAACATCCACCATGGAAGCATCGTTTCACAGTTCAGACGACTACCACGTCGGAAGCCATCGACGCTGAACTGGTGAGCGCGCCCGCACGCACGGCATCAGGTGCCGATTCAGGCGGCCCTCTTCTGGGAGGCGAGAGACTCCCCTCGCCATAAGTATGGGAGGCTGTCCACCCTTTCTTGGCGACCCATGCCCTCCGATGACATGACCGCTTCTGTTTGACCATTACGATATCAAGACTTCATCAGCCACTGTTCGAGCAGCAAGAAAGATCAGCAACGATCAACGTATTTTTTTCTCCCCCTCAAGACAATCAACATGCACCTCGCTGCTCTTCTCGTCGCCATCCTCCCGGCCGTGGTCCTGGCCCGTCCGTACCTCCCCTTGGATCTTCCCACTCTGCCTCCGAACACGGCGGCGCCTGATGTTCCCGTCATTCCGCGTGACGCATTCGAGGCTGCCGCTCTCGAGCTGGTCGAGGCCGACCAGTAGGTGCAGAGGCCGATCACAAGACCATTTCACCATGGTATGTACGTCCTGGCACCATCCATTGATCGACGACTGCAGAGCATGATGGTTGACCAAGGTGCTCTCAGCCCAGTACAACGGACAAAATGATGCCTGCTTCGGAACAGAATACGCACGGGGCATTCTGCAGCTCGGTTCCGGGTCAGTACAGGGACTTGACAGTCAATTGTGGCGTACAATGTGGTTATCATGATGAGGAGATGCATGTACAATAAGGGGGCATCGCAAGGAGTAAAGGAGGGGGTGAAGGCCTGACAGCCATGTTTTTTTTATTTGCTCGCAATCCCGACCATGTACGGTTGCACCTGTCGTCTGCCGTGAAGACTGAAAATCAATAAAACGGTTTGATCGAACAAAATGACTTCTATCAATGTACTGCTATGTCGTGATTGTCAAGACTGTCGAGATGGCTTCCTGGACGACCACAAGTGAGCGCCCTGGGAGGTTGGTGGAGCTAAGGGGGAGGTGATTGGCCAATGAGGTGGTCTGCTCCCCACATCGAGCCTTTCCGCTGAGATGCAGATGCTCCTGCAAGTTTGTCATCGTTCAGTCGCGACAGCTCCAGCCTTGCCTCGTGCCGGGCTTTTATTTTACCAAAGTCGACGATACTCAACTTACTTGCCTCCCCAACACGACACATCCTTAGCTCCCACCTCTGCATTACCACGGAGACGATCTCACCAGCGGCCAGGTCAGGTCTTGACTCTCGGTCCTACAGCGGCCGAGTCGCGAGCCAGGGGACTGCATCAATATTTTGGAGAGTGTTCGCTCCTCACATCTTCGCAGCCTCCTCGCGACAATCCCGACAGCGTACTCAAATCCGTATGCGCCACTCTACGCTCGCCTGCGACCGATAGAACACCCGTAAAACTACCACAGCCTTGCTCAGCATGGCTCCGAATGGGCCTCGGGCGCAGACGACTGTCAAAGATGCCGACAAGCTACCTCCTCAACCACCTATCCCCGAAGGCGTCGTCGCTCTCGATCATGCCGAACCACCCAAGGGTCCGCACCCTGGTCACGTCCAGGTCGCATGTCTATTTACCCTCGAACAGAAGCTGCAGCGCATGTTGAAAGAGCACGGATGCGAACCGGCCAGAGAAGACACGTACCGGCTGCAAGGCGTGCAGCTGCTGGACAACGTCCGCGAGTACCTTCACCTGTAGGATCCCATGAAGAATCGTGTGCAGATTGGCAAACAGTTTTCTGACACGTGCGGCGCAGGCCAGTGCGCACCTTTGATACGGCGTGCTTCTATTTCCACCTTTTTCGTCTCTGCCATAGGGATGCCGAGTACAACTACCAGGATGCCGCCCTCGCTTCCCTATTCTTAGCCTGCAAGGTTGAGGACACCATCAAAAAATCAAAAGAGATCTTGTGTGCTGCGTACAACATTAAGAATGCCGAGTTCACAACCACACAGGATGACAAGGTAAGCGTGTGGTATTTGGTGTTTGGGGGGGTGCTCTTGGCGTTTCTCCATAACCCCTTGTGAAGCACCGCCTCGGTGTCGCTGCTATTCTGGACGTGCCTGCTGACCATCCCCCGCGCATTTCCAGATGTTCGAACAGCCGTCCAAGATAGTGATAGGACTAGAGCGTCTGATCCTGGAGACGATCGGCTTCGACTTTCGCAGTCGGTACGCGCAAAAGTACTTTGTCAAGGCGATCAAGACAATTCTGGGCCCCTCGGCGACAAAGGCGTTTTTTGCGACGACGTACGACATGGGCATCGACCTACACAAGACGTTTGCGCCGATCAAGCAGACCACCTGGACAATGGCCCTGGCTGTGACTGAGCTCACGGCGCTCGTCACAGGGGCACACATTGATGCGGTGCAAAAGGTCAAGCCGTCCGACTGGCACACGACCCGCGCCGACATTGTCGAGACGATGCTGGATCTCCTCGACCTCTACACCCAGCACCCCAAATCGACAAAAGTGGGCTCGCTGTACGAAGAGCAGCACTTTTTCGACATCAAGAGAAAGGTCATGGCGGAAGTGGACACAGGCATCAAGGAGAATGGCGCCGACAGGGGCAGCAAGATCAGCCGCTACCTCGTCTGGTGTGAACAATGCAAGGTGGATGAGCCACAGCCGGGTTTCACGCCCGCCATTACCCCCAGCTTCACCCCAAGCTTCACTCCCGGCTCGCCCGCCACGACGGGCTCGGCGCCGGGGAGCAACCCTGCCGTCAAGCGCAGCACACGCGGCACCGAGGGCACGATGCGCTTCGTTTTCGACATGGATCAGGCCAAGGTCGAGAAGAAGGCTGTGGACTCATACTTGCACGAAGAGTATGACGATGTTGAAATCGATCGGGTTGAGGCGATTCCCGAGGCTGAGCGTCAGCAGCAGCAGCAGCAGCACCACCACCACCAACAACAGCATCGTGAAAGGAGACACGAAGGTGGTCGCGGCGGTCCCTACTCGCGAAATAACAACCGTGATCGTCGTAAGGGAGGACCGCGGTTTTACTGATGAGGTGATGGGGCTGGAGAGTATATACGCGATCCTACGTGGCACTTCTTTTGGCGTTTGGACGGGCGTTCAGGGGGGCTTGATACCCAGAGAGTCAACTCGGCCACTCAATTTGAAAACGATCATAACATTTGCTTGTTGTAATTCCAGGTCACTTGACGCTATGATCCTGAAGCTGATGGCCAATGAGCCGTGTGAAGATTGTGATTCAGCACCACATCTCAACCATTCGTTCTCGAAATGTTGTGGCTTGAGAAGACACCCATCCGTCTCTAGAGCTCCGCCAATTCCGCTCATGATGAGTGGAGTTCCTGCTTGACTTACGGTTGCAGCGAAACTCCGATCCTGGGAGATCTATCTCTCCCTTCTCTTAACTCCGGGCTACTAACACCGGAAGTATCGCCTGCACAAGACGGACCACAACGACTCTCAACTGTCAAACAGCAATCATCTCTCTACTATGCTATCCTTCCAACACCCCGATACCTAGCCATGCACCTCATTCTAACGGGGGCCACAGGCCTTGTCGGCACCAGCGTCCTTGATGCCATGCTCAAGACGAACGCCATCACGAAGATATCCATCCTCAGCCGACGACCCGTCCCCATGGCCCAAAACTCGGACGATCCTAGAGTACAAGTCATCATCCACAAAGACTTTGCGCAGTATGAACCCGAGGTCATGGACAAGCTTCAGGGTGCCACCGGCGCCGTCTGGGCTCTCGGCGTCAGCCAGACGCAGGCCTCCAAAGAGTACAGCCCCAGCGTATCATTTTCGCGTCAACGAGAGCACACGACTGACAGGACCCCAGAGACTACGTGACCATCACGCGAGACTACCCCCTCGCAGCAGCCAAAGCGTTCGCCAACCTCCCGTCAGCGGACCAGCCGTTTCGCTTCGTCTACGTGTCCGCCGGAGGCGCCACACAGACCCCGGGGTTTCTCACGCCCTACTACGGCGCCGTCAAGGGAGAAGCGGAGACTTTGCTGTCCGAGCTGCGCCTCCGTGCGCCGCGTCTGCGGACGGATTCGTTTCGCGCCGGGTTCGTGGATGCGGCACAACATGCCGAGATTTCGCCTTTTGTCCCCCGGCCGCCTTTGCTGTACCGCCCGGTGATACCCCTCATGGCGGCGCTGATGAGCGGGCTCGGGGCGACGTCAATGCACTGTCCGACGGAGCCGCTGGGGCGGTTCTTGACGGAAGTGGCCATGGGGAAGTTCGACGGGCAGCTGCAGGCTGGAGGCGACGATGTTGCGACTTTACGTGGCGGCTTGAGGATAGTGGAGAATTGGACGTTCAGAAGGCTGGCTGGTCTTGGTCCATGAACGGCAATGGCCGCTCTGGTGAGTCTGGGTCGTGAACTATATGGGGCTTGAGTTGAGTACGATCGGTCGAATGGATAGAGCAGTCATTGATGCTCGGTCTACCTTTCAGTCATGTCTTGCGGAAGGAAAGTGGTGCTCGGTCTTTCTCGTTTGCCTTTTCATGTATCGTCCTCATCTAGACCTATGGCGGCCCCTATAGGAAAGCCTTTAAGACTGCGATAGGTAGGCATTGAGGCCCTCGAGGGAATGTCCAAGTCGGACGAGTAAAGTTGTTCTATTGCAGTGGACTCATCCATGCTGGTATCATTTCGGTGCCATAATATCTGTCCAATGCTTCCCCTTCGCCCCCGGAGCCTGCAGTGCGAGTCGCTCAAAGGCCCTAAGCACGGCTCCCGCGTCAGGAACCTGTTTGCCCTCCCGCATGATAGCTTCACCCTCCGTCTGCCTCGCTTGCTTGATCGTCCTCCTGGTATCCCTCCTCATCGACGCCCGCACACTCTTGTACGCACCCTGACTCGTAAATGTGAGCAGACCTAACGCGCCCGACGACACCTTGGTCCCTAGGTTCAACACGCCAATACCCACGCCCTTGGCAGCACCTACGGCGCCTTCCTTCTTCGCACCCCGCACAGGTGACATGACGAGGCCGCCAATGCCCTCGACGATGCCGTGACTGAAGTTCTTGCCCGCCGCGATGCCGCCTGACTTCCAGTCCGTCACGGCGCCTGGGTCATAGACTTCGCCGCCGTACAGACGTGGCGCGACGCGCATACCCTCCTCGAGTGCGTGCGGTATGTCGAGATAGATGCCCTTCGTAAAGGACTTGAAGAAGCCGCCAACACCACCGGCTGAGCCAGCAAGTGCAGCCTCGGCACGACTCCTTTCTGGCTTCTTGCCTTCGGCGTTGTTTGTGGGCACATCAAGGCCAGCAGGTCTGCCGTACGGATCGTCCGCAGGGTGCGGACTCGGCTCTCTGCTCGATCGCTTGCTGCCGGGTCGGTCTGAGGTGAACGCCTGTACGGGCTTGACGACGATGTCTGCCGCCGAGGTCGCCATGCCGGCATACATTTTGATTGCTGATGACGTGACGGCTGTAACTGGGTCCCACCTTCGGTGCTGAATATCAATGGGGCGAGGCTCGTAGCTGATCCAGGTTAGCTGCAGAGCCCCAATCAATCGCAGTTCAACATTCGCTTACCGTGTGAGATCAGCCCACTTGATCCTCTTGCTGTCGGTCAGGATCTCCGCGGCGGCTTTGGAGAGTTTCATATACTGCGCGTCTTTCTTATAGGACCAAGCAGCGGCGAACTCGGGCAACATGTCGCATCGCATGTTGTCCAGAGGAAGATTGGCGTGGAAGGAATTGACGGCTTGTCGCACGCCGTTCTCCTGGCGCATCTTGTCGGCCATGACCTGGGCAGCCGCCTGCGCGCCGGGCGTCAAGCAATCATTGATAGCGCTGGCGAGGTTTTGAGCGTTGAGCTGTCTTTGCGGGATGGGCATCGGCCCCGCGCCAGCGGCGTTGACCATGGTGCCCCAAAAGGGTTGGCTAGGTAGACTGCATCAGTATCTTGGACCTTGAGAGACCTTGAGAGAATTTGGGCGCATCAATACGCACTCGCCGAAAAACGGCACGATAGCCGTTGGTTTCCCGTTGAGCAAACCGCACGCCGTGGTACCAGCTCCACCGTGGTGCACCACGGCTGTGACATGCTGGAACAGCCACTCGTGAGGACAGTCGCCGAGGTAGAATATGTCGCTATCGGCGGGCTGGTTGGCGCCGAGCTTGCTCCAACCCCTCGAGATGATGGCACGCACACCGGTCTGCTTGACGGCCTCCACCAATATCGCCGTCAGTCTGTCGGGGTCGTCAATGACAATACTGCCAAAGCCAATGTAAACAGGCGCAGGTCCACTGCGTAGAAACTGGTCGAGTTCCGGCTCAGGAGTGTAATGCGGAGCGTCTCGGAAGAAGAAGCCACACACATCTGTTATCTTGGTCAGGTCTTGTTGGAACACCCCTGTTTGTGGATCACGTACCAATGTAGTTCGGCCAGTCTAGGGGCTTGGGGATCAGGGCCGGGGACCAGCAATACGTGAATGGAATTTGCAGAGCTTCAAGCAGGCCAGCGCCTTCAGAGAAGGGAACATCCTCCAGGTCCAAGGTCTGCCTCCACGCATTAATGACGTCGCCAAGTCTATCTCCAAGTCAGTCTCGCATGCAGCTTCGGATAGATATGAGCGAGCCCCTTACCCCTGCCAAGTCATCCACTCGACCGCCATGTATGAGATCTGGTTGGCAACAGCTGGTGATATGCTGCTATTGTTGACGTTGATGTTGGCCAGTGGGTGGCAAAAGTCTTTCGTGCTGCTCCACGGCATGGTGAACATGAGGTGCAGCGGCACGCCGAGAGCTTGAGCGCAATGGACATGAGCGAAGCTCGGCGGGTTCGCAATAATCGCATCAGCGACGAAAGGCTGCTGCGTCAGAGGGTCCGGTTCGATACACGACCTCCAGCAGCCTTCCAGCATCTCAGCGATCATGGTTCGCTTCTTTTGGATATCGCCAGCCCGCAGGCTCTTCATAGAAGGCATCAGTCCGGGGTTCTTGACCATGTAGGCCATGAGCTCTGTCGGATCTCCACCGATAGGGTAGAACTCCAAGCCAGATTTCCGTACAAAGTCGGCAAAGGTGTCATGGGTGGCGAGGCGAACTCTGTGGCCGTGGCGCTGAAGTTCGTTGCCGAGGGCGACGAAGGGCTGTACGTCGCCTCGACTGCCGACAACCTGGATAACGATATTCAATCGAATCCCCCAATCGACCTGCTCAGTGTAGGCAGGAGGGAGTTCGCTGATGGGCCGGTCGGTCCTCGGCTGGACCGACTCTCTTCGAGGGACGAGAATCGAGAGAGTTCTGCAAAGCTTCGAGTCGAGGTTGATGTCGATACGTCCGTCCGCTGAGACGAGTGGTTAGTGGGGTTGGAAGACAGCGCACGGCGTCCTGGAACCATCATACCAGTTGCCCCCGCTGCGTCGTTGAGAATGCGCTCGGCGGCGGCAGCCTGTTCGGAATATCGTGGAGGCGCATCTCCTGGTGACGCCTCGTAGTCGGCTGGGCCTGCTTCATCTGGTGCAAAGGATGATGGCCGTCGCGGCATTGGTGCGCGGGGTAGTGGTTTATCGTCGCCAGACATGATGAGGTGTAGGTGATGGCTCGACGGTATTGCCTATCGCCGACAGAGGAGAAGGAAGACAAGGTTGCTGGCAAGGACAGAGTGATGACATTGACGAGCGGGACGGCCACGCTTATGAATGGGAGCTGTCCCGTCTCAGACTCCAGCTGGACCCTGAGGAAGCTCTAGGGCTACATTAGTCTTACAATTGGGTTGCAGCATGGTTGCATGATCTCAAGGGATTCGCGTCTGCCAATGCATGTGGGTGCTAGTCAGTCGGCAGGACCCGATCTGCCATTGAAAACCCATGATTGAGCTGCCGATATGCCGGCCTGGCACAGTCTGGATGCGTTTCTAGACCAACGGCTGCCTGAGAGCCCAGGGCGCCTCGTGGACTTGGGAGGCGAAGCTTCACAGTAGGCACATGGGATGAGGCCGTGTTCGATTCAGGACGCGAACGGTCCCGAGGTGGAGGACGGCCATGCTGCTCTTGACACCAGCGAAAGACGCTAGTCTCGTATTTTCTCGTAGTCGTGTTTCTCGCATCCTCGTTCTTCGGATTCGCCGGGTCCACACTGGCATGACTCGCGTTACTGCATCGGAAGACGCTTCACGGCTCAGGTTGCACTGCGATTAGGACCGGCAATCAGGAGATGTCAGTAGAACTGTCGCAAACCTCCAATGCTTGTGTACGTAGGTTTAATTGGCTGTGGCAACCCCTTGATTCTGAAAAGTGAATAGAACATTCAAACGAACTTTCTTCTGCTTACATGTTCATGACTGATTGAATCTCAACGTATTTGCATGTATTGCATGTACTTGTATCTACCTCGCTGCATGCTCATCAATCATCCCCAAACGGCAGAAGAATCTACTGGTCAAACAAGTACACATTTGACTCCAGCTGACGAGTGTTGAGCTATAATCTGGTCAGGTCGTGCTTCCATCTCGAGCAAGCAAGCGAAGAAGACTTACGAAGCTGGTGCTGATGTTCTGTAGGTTCGTGGCACCCAGCTGGGCACCATCACGGACAATCTCTGTCCTCATGATGTCGATGGCCTTGGTGACACCCTCGAGGCCGTACACGTTCGAGTACATAAATCTGCGAACCTTGTGAGCGCCTTAATTCAACGATGGCCAGAATGTGCTTTGTACTCACGGTCGACCCATACCCACGGCTTTGACTCCGAGGGCAAGCAGCTTCAGGACATCGCTGCCGTAGCGAATACCACTGTCCGCGAGAACGTCCACCTGCTGGAAGACTTGAGGGGCGTTTCGGTAGATCTCGTAGGCGATCTCCAGAGGGCCGGGGGTGTGGTCAAGCTGACGACCGCCGTGGTTGGAGATGTAGATGGCCTTTGCGCCCTTCTCGACAGCCAGCAGAGCCTCCTCGGCAGTGGTGATGCCCTTGAGGATGATAGGCAGGCTGGTCTGGTTGCGCATCTGATCATACACATCCCAAGTCAGAGCCGACGAGACAGAGTTGGCGTTCGTCGTGTCGTAGCGGGCGGCACGGTGCCGGACGGAGTTGCCCGGAGCATCAATGGTGAAGACGATGGCCTTGGCACCAGTTCGCTCGGCGCGGCGAATGTTGTCCCAAGTCACCGAGAGGTTGGCGTTGGTGTAAATCTGTTGAAAGATAACCTGGGGTCCGTTGAGGGTGCTGTTGGACTTTCCAGCAGCGATCTCCTCGATGGTCTTTGACGCGTACATGGACGGGATGTACAGGATGTTCTCCTTGCCAGCCGCTTCGACAAAGTTGAGCTCAGCACGCTCGGGATCGCCATAGACGCCGCGGGCAGCGGGAGCAATGAAGAAAGGAGAGCTAAAGTTGTAGCCCAGAATCGTGGTGGCGAGAGTCTCGTTCAGCTTGGTCACGTCGCTCAGGTGTCTTGACCTGAATTGCACAGACTTCCAGATATCGAGGTTGTGACGGTAGCTTTGCTCGCCTGCCGTGCCAGTGCGGTAGAAGCTGTACATTTGGTCGTTCAGGTGCTGGCGGGCTGCCCAGTCAAAGTCGGGGAGGGCACGAATATCCTTGAGAAGGGGCAGTGTTCCCTCTGTGTAGTTGGCGCCAAGAAGGTAAGTCTCGAGCCCAGTGTCGACCTCGTTGATCCATGGTTCGCCAGCAAGGACAACAGCAGCTAGCTGCGTGATCAGGAGAAGTGAGGAGTGCATTTTCGAAATTCTACGAAACGGACGAGATGGGTGAGAGAACAAGTCGGAGAAATGCCTAACCTTGATGACAGAACAGTCCCCTGGACCAGCTGTCTATCGCACCTTTATACTAAATCGTCAGATTAGACCAGAGACAAAGCCCGAATAGCCTGATTACTGCCCATGACAGCGAAAACCGACTCAGGGCTCTACGTCAGGGCCAGAACCCCTCAGGAGCCTCGTGGCATCGGCAAAGCCCCGAACCAGGTGCATGGCTTCAACCAGTTTGGCGGGACCGCTTCATCTCGAGTGCAATAAAGTTCAGACGTTTCTGCAAGCATCTTGCCTTTTCAGACAAGGATCGTCCTTGGCGGCGTTGTCAAGTACAGATGAGGTCAATCAGCCGGAAGGTTGGCACGATCTAATCTAATCAATCTGTGACATAAGTCTTACAAACCGTGAGTGCCGGGTTGAATTATGTGGAAGAGGCTCTTAAGTGCCGCTATCGGTTGTCGAGAGTCCACCGCGGAGGAATCGTGGGCCGAACCTTCGGAGACTGAGTCAGAATTTGGTGACGCTAGGTCTCTTACCAACGGAGGTTTTCACCAAGATTTCTCATTCCACTCCGGGCTGCCGAGACCAGAAAAACAACGCTCTTCGCTCAGCCACATTCGACAAGCAGGGTTCAAGGCGCGAATTCTCAGCATGCTGCTGGTCGGTAGCTGGCTTCGTTGGTCTCAGGGCCTAAAAGAAGCATTTGTTTGCAGCATTGATGAACCTTCTGCATTATCCCACATGGGCCGCGTATTCGTCGTGACAGGTCACGAGTTCGCAGGCATCGAGATCGGCCGAAGAAGCGCTCGTAATCCGACAGTGGCAGACAATTGGCATCTGTTGTGCTGGACCGGACTGACTGAAGAGGTTTTGCAGAGGCTCGCTACAATGCCTGCCGAGACCCTCCGATATCAACTAGTGCTGCGATGAAACAAGGCAGTGGCGTCGATATTGCACTATGCCATGGCGTGGTCAGGCCGCCCCCGAGTTCCGAGCATGACTAGGCGTGCCAGAAAGTTGGCTACACGGAAGAGCAAAGTATTAATGTCAAACGGTTCAAACACTCAAAAGGAGGCCATAACAAGCAGCTGCGAAACAGAGAGTGCAGGCCTCGATCAAGATTTCGATCTGAAAGACGTTGGCGGAAGAGACAGGTACCAAGAAAACCATCGAACACTTTGGCCTTGTTGCTGGAGTCAGCACAAATAGCTGTTTTTTATCAGCTGCAACAGCAAGGTTGTCATAATTTCGAAAAGAAAGGAATCGAGTGAGTTCAATGAGTGGCATTACATGGGTGCGTCCGTGTAACCAGTCCAACCCATGCGGGCCAACTTAACACTCAGCGAGACCCTGAAATGCATTCAGAGAGGCCGAAGTAACAGTCCACAGACCACCGAAAGTGACATCGTAGTTGTACCATCGACGATTAGATGTTGATACACCAGTCGAAAGGCCGTGTGTGGCGTGAGAGGTATGCCTTGCTGGCAATGTCTGCCGCGAGGTTGGTTGGAAATGCATCGCTTCCCTGCATAATGAGCAATTGTTCCAATGCGACTTCGCCTGGTGCTATTCGACGCTGACGGTCTGGGTCCGGCATACCATTTACCTTCGTGACAGCAATGATGAACATACTGGACACTTCGAAGCGGGGGTTGAAGGGCTCCCAGACAGCGCAAATGGTGGTGCCAGGTGTGATCAGGACCATTCGAAGGAAGATATCCATCCGCCGGAAGAAAACATGCCGCACATGAACCACATAGAAAACATCGTTCCAGTTGATTCAAGGTTCGTCTCATTCGCGAGCCGTAAGTGTACATTTCCTCCACGTTGCCACCAATTCGAAATCTATGAGCTCGCCTCGCCAGCCGCCTTCTTCTTCGCCGCTTGTTCTTGGTCGTACTCGATCAATTGCTTCGACCAGCTACCGAATGTCAGTCTCATAGTGATATATCGTTGGGAAGAACATCACAGGGCTTACTATCTGCTGGGGAAGAAAGCGCCCTCCTTTGGCATGATGTATCGGTGCTCCTTCTCCGAGCTGATCTTCCAGACACCGCACATGACGCCGAACATGACAAGACCCATCACGGCCGTATTGGCGCGCCAGTTTGAAGGTTGCGTGTACCAGCCACCGGCAGGCGACCAGACGTGCTTGGGGTACCTTCGGAGACAAGGTTAGAGGGTTTCGAGGGAAACGACGTTTGGGTTCATGATCGAACTCACGGGACTTTCGGACCGCCACCCTGTGAAACACGTTAGCGAGGTCGCATAATGTGGAATTCTCTGGTGCCTACCATTTTGACTGTATCTTCAATTGATGGGGGTATTTCGTAGATAATGACAATTGGCGAGGCCGTAATTCGTGGATTGGCTCTTGAAGTCGTGATGCACGGCTGAATTCCTGGCGGGTCGGAAGAAGCGGAACCCGGAGAACCTGTTAACCCGAGCTAGCTCCAAGCATCCCAGCGCTGGGACCCTTGTACCTCACACGACTCCACGACTCGTCTCGTCAGTCGGGAAACTTTTTCGTGACGAGGCGAACGACGAAGCAGACGACCCAGCGATTCGTCCCACCGCAACCCACTTCTACACCTGTACAACACGGTTTTCTTTCATTCGATCATTACAGATGAAGAGGGTACGGACATTACGATGCACTGGGCAATTGCTCACCGCTCAAACGAGGGCTGCCATTCCTTCCTACCACACCCCAATCTCGACCTCCTTTAAGACAGCGACAGCCGCAGCCGCACCACGTCTCCAGCAGTCACGGTTACAATCGACCAGTGCGACCCCATCCTCCCTCGAGGCTGCCATAGACGACCTCGATATTCCCGAGTACAAACCTCTGCCGTCACCGCTTCCGGCACGAGCTCTCACCTCCCCCAAGCTCGCCGCCCTCCATGCTCGTCTCTCCCTCCCCTCAAAGCTCCCCCTCCAGACTCTCGCCCGTTGTCTTGTCGACCCATCCGCCGATGCGAACCCGCACTTCAACAATGCCAATCTCGCCCTGACCGGTTCCTCTCTCATCAGCTACCACACCTCCGAGCGCCTCGTCGTTGCCTACCCCCGACTGCCCATGGCTATCCTATTCGAGGCCATGCGCTCCTACGCCGGCCCTGCATCCCTCGCCAAGATTGCCCAACAATGGGGTGTCGAGATGGCGGCCGCCCCCGGCGAAGAGGTGGACCCCGGCCTGCTGCAGTACTCCCTGGATCCCAAGGCTGGCGTCGTGCACACGCGCTGGGGCTATGTCCGCAAGGAGGCAGCCCACATTGACAAGTTCAAGTGGCGCCGCGGCACCAGCTCCCGTATCGTCTACGACGACGAGTTCGGCGACACGGTCCACAAGGCGACGCGGAACCCGCACGACGCGACCTCGGCCGCCGACCTCGTCTCCGCCGAGCGCGCCGACATCCGCCAGAACGCCAACGCGGCCTTTGTCCGCGCCCTCGTCGGCGCTCTCTACGTCCACGGCGGCCGCGAGAGCGTCCGCTCCTTCGTCGACGCCCACATCCTTGCCCGCCGCGTCGATCTCGAGAGTCTCTTCAGCTTCAAGCTGCCCACGCGCGAGCTCGCCATGCTGTGCGCCCGCGAAGGCTTCGAAGCCCCGGTCGCGCGCCTCTTGTCCGAGACGGGCCGGCACAGCCGCACGCCCGTCTTTGTTGTCGGCATCTACAGCGGCCAGGACAAGCTCGGTGAGGGCACTGGCGCGAGCCTCGACTTCGCGCGGTTGAAGGCGAGCATGAACGCATTGAAGGCGTGGTACCTGTACAGCCCCGGCGCCAAGAGCAGGGTGCCGAGCGACATGCTGAGTGAGGGCGCGAAGCCGTGGCAGCCGGTGCATATTGACATGGGAGAGGTTATTTAAAGGGGAAGGCGTCTGGAAGCCTGTTTGGGAATGAGAAAAGGGGAAGAAGGAAGAGCATGATGGGTAGCTGTGGAACCCCGGTGTGCCTGAAAAATGGGCAGTGTATATTTTGTTCACATTACTACCACCACTAAGAGACAGGTGTGTACGTCGATGTAGATGTATAGATCTGTACAACACTTGTTCTGTGCTACTTGCCCAACGTCCCCTGCGCACTACCTTACTTGCCTTTATGTCCAATGATGACATAGCCTGGCCAAAATGATCCTGAATCAACATCTATCTTCCATACCAACGTTCTTTTAATTAGATCTACAATGCTGCACGCTCAACCGGGTATCTGACTCTCACATGCTGCCGCCCATTACAACATGCGATCATTCAACTGAACTGATCGCCCTCGCCCAATCTCGTCCCCATTCCCCGTCTGACGAGGCCCCGGTATCGCTCTGACTTTCGCTCCTTCTCCTTGGCCTCCCTGAGCTTCTTCTTCCGCAAATAGACCGCCCTCACCGTCTCGCGAATTTGCCTTTGGCCTTGTGCGTAGTTGGCGCGGGCTAGGGCAACGACCTGGTCAATCTGCTCGGGCGTGTAGACAAAGTTCCAGGTCGACAAGAAGTCCGACTCGCCAGGACTGACACCTGGCACGGCTTCTGGATTCCCGAGGAGTGGCAAGTACACAACCGCAATCCCCGCGTCGGGCTCAGAGATGTGCCAGTGCGTCGAGTCATCGAGAGCTCTGGATGGCGGAGGCGGGCTGGTGGACCGCTCCTGCGACGTTCCCACCCAAACGGTGCAGTACCCCAGATCGTCAGTGGTGTTTTTGCCTGGGCTTTTCTTCTGTTCGATCTGCGCTTCGTTGAGCCTTCTGTCGGCATCCTTCAGATCGGAAGCCTCGGCATTTTCGAGCTCTTTTGTAAGTTCTTCGGGCGCCTCGCCAGCCTTGGGCCAGCCAATACCGACGGGCCAGCCTTTGATTTTGCGTTGACGAGCATAGCCATCTGCGACGGCAAGCCAATTATCCGTCTTCGTATCCGCGGAGGCATCAAACGCGATGAGAACCTCAACACCACGTCCAGGGCGCATGAGAGGGTAGAGGGGCAAATTGTTGCTCATGCCAGCATCCATGAGTTGGATGTACTCATTGTCATAGATGCTCGGCGGAGTGGTGTCAGGGAGCCGGCCGTGCATGCCGTAGGCAAAGTTGGCGACAGTCCCTGGGTCAATGGGGTGAACCTTCTCGAGATCGTTGTTGTAGCGACCAGAGATGATCTCGTCCAGGTTCATGAAACCCGAAAGAGACTGGACAAGGGGTCGGACTTCGCGGTAGTAGTGGCTGAGTGTTGCGCAGAAAGCGGAGCCGAAGACGCCCATGAGGAACGGCACGCGAACCTCTGGCAGATGGAAGCCCTCTTCAGGAGGTACATCAACACCGTTGTTGAATTTACGACCGAGGGCCCAAGTTGGTATTCCCGCGGAGAATTCTTCGCAGAAGAACTCGTACGGCGTGATCTCAAACCACTGAAACCATGCCTCTCGAGCGGCCTTCTCCTTGGCGGCCTCAACGCTATCAACGGGCTCGTTGTCATCGATACCGGGGATTTCGTGGCGAACTGCCGTGTAGATTGGCATGGGATTCTGTCCATATTTGATATACTGGCGCTGGTTGCTCAACTTGAAGTCACTGTCGCAGACCTCGAGTTCGCCCTTAGGAACGAGAAATCGAGCGGCCAGAAGCAGACCGTAAATATCGACAAGGCCAAAACTGGCTTGAGGGTCGCCGCGCAGCTTCTCCACCAAGCCGCTCAAAAGGTATTTGCTAGTTGGAGCAGAGACAAGAGCCTGGAAGGCAACGGGTGGGTAGGCGATGTGAATGGCGGCACGAGACTTGAGATGCTCCAGTATGCGGGGGAAGCTGCGGCCGCCGACGGAGGAGAAGTAGAGGGTCTGAAGCCAGCAGGAGCCGGAAACACCGGAAGTGTAGGTGACGCAGTCGAAGAGTCCATCTTGATCGGCTGCATGAAGAGAACCAGAGCCAGCGACCAGAGCTCGTAGGCCTCCACCAGAGCCGCACATGGCAATAACGGGGACATCGTCAGGATGAATTTCGTTTTCGTCAATCTCAAGGTACTTGGCCAGGGCAATTCGTGTGATCATCTTGCGACGAGCGAGAAATTCCTTCTCGTCGTCGCAGAGATCAGTCGAGATGCGGACAGTCGCCTCATGGCGGATTTCGGGGTTGATGAAGGGATCGTGGGCGTCACGCCATATCTCATCAGCAAGAGACCCAGGCGCCAAGGACAACTCGCGCTGCAGCTTGCGGACGAAACCGGGAATTTGCTTGGACCACTCCGGGAGAATAAAGCCAACAACTCGATCGGAGAGGGAAGACCATTCTATATCAGCCGCATTGGAGAAAGCCTCAAAGCTGGAAGAGAACGTGTTCCACGCGGCCGACGAGGCGTTTTTCGCTGCTTGTTGGTCTTGGCGCTCCTGCTCCTCGTCTCTTTCCAGCTTCTCCTTGTCGCGTTTTCGCTGCAACTGTCGCTCGCGGCGGTAAGTCTGAGCCTCTGAGATTTGGTCGAATTCTTCTGAAGGATAAAGAGCCCAAACGAACAGTCCGCCAGCAATGATAACAGCGGGGACAGTAGGGATGCCTCGGGTCTTCTTCTTAGCCTCGTCTTGAGGGGTGGTTGTGAAGAACCCGGTGCGGAATTGCTTGCTCGCCAATCGGTGTGTTGCAAGGGCATCAAAGCCTTTTCGCCGAGAATGAAACCATCTCGCATGGCCCACTGAGGAGCGTATGTAGGTAACGATCGACCTCATGCTTACAGTTCTTGGGCGCGCAATAGAAGCTTTAGGTGCTTGCCATTACCGGCTTGGAGAGGGGGTTGCCAAGAGAGAACGAGCGTGATCTGATTGTTGGGTTGGTCGAATCAGCTGAGGCTTTGCAATCCGACGTTACCGCCTTTGTTCGGTTTAGTGTGCGACCATGTCATATGCTGCCAACGTATGATTGAGGGGAGATGTTGTTTTTGAAAAGTAGAAGTGTGAGGGTTTTTCTTTGTCTGCCTGGCTTGCTTCTCCCTCAACAAACTTGACGCGTCGGTCACGATCTAGTTCGATTGCATTTCGCCCATTGACATCATTGAGGGCAATGCCAAAACCGGGTCGCTCCTGCCTTGGCCGGGGGTGGGGTCTAAGCGGTACCTTGTCATTCACGTCAATCGCTACCAAGCAGGAAGTACCTTCTTAGCTTCGTCAGGTCCCGCCCGCGGCCAGGAAGCTCCGGGCCAATGATTCGCCAATTGGATCACATGTGAATCACATCGTCCTGGTTCCTGTTCCTGTTCCTAGGTAGTCATCGCTGCCTCATGTGGACCAACTCGATCTGGGAGGCAATACGTGCTTGGCTATGAGCCTTTGCGACGGGCTACATCACCGTCGTCCTCGTTCTGTGTGCTTTAAGGCAAGGTTGAGGGAGAAGGGAATGCGACAATACATGAATGCCCACCTGCTCTCTAACCAGGACGCTGAGGGAAGCGGGTGTTGTCCTAACACCTAGCGCCATGCCAGATCATTCTCGACTTCCACGCAGACTTGCACGTCGTGCAAATCTCGAAGCCAATGGACTTCTCCTCACAGCTGTCAACAAATACTGTAATAATGCGCCACGTGATTGTACCCGCAATACCTATATATTGTTCTTGCGCCACTTGCCCGATGCTCGGTCGCGTGTGGCTCAAGGACAGCTTCTGTATTGTTCCCGCCAACCGCCTCCATTGTTCTAGACATCACCACTAGTAGGCGACCGGGAGACCCAGTGAGGGTGCAAAGAGTCATCAGGCAGCCACTTGGTCAAAAATATCTTAATAGTAATGAGAAGAAATCCCTTCCCGGCGGCGGCAACAGTTAATATGATGTACCGTTATCCTCGCTCTTGTCGTTTCGTCTCGAGCTTGGCTTTCGTGCCCACACAACATGCCGCGTGTCTGGAGGTCTCCCAATTCAGCAACGTGGGTTCCTCTACCGTCGCCAACGCATTCGCACGAGTGGCTTGGAGCAGACATGGGTCGACCATTGCTTTCTCCCAGCCAAGGGCGACCTGCGAACCCAAAGGTCGCAGTCATTGGTGCAGGTATGAAGCTGAGGAGCCCCAAAACAGACCTGGACGCTAATGATGAGCAGGTCCGGCTGGTTTGGCGTCCTTAAAGGAGCTTCGCGGAGTGGGGTTCGACGTGACGGTTTATGAGCGCAGGTCAGACGTCGGTGGCATCTTTACTTTCGATGCCGATACCTCCATCACGTCGGCAACACCTTGGACGCGCTCGCAGCTAAGCAAATATGTCGTGAGCCTTCCATACCGATTGGCGAAGTTGGGCAATCTCTAATCACCAGCCAAGTGCCCAATGTCAGATTTCCCATTCCCTGATGGCAAGGCGCTCCCCATCTCCGTTGTGCATGAAAATACTGACCATTTTCAGGCACGTCTGTCCATGTGTCATCAAAAGAGTGGTCCGAGTACTATCATCAGTACGCTGAACACTTCAACTTATATGAGCACATTGTCTTCAATACAACCATTGAAGTTATCAAACGCGATGAAATAAATTCAAAATGGATGGTGCATATTAAAGGCGAAACTGAGCCCAAAGTCTTCGACAGGGTGGTGTTCTCGAGCGGCTCAGAAACCATTGCCATGCTTCCCAAGATCGACGATGTACACAAATTCGAAGGCCAATTTATACATGGACAAGCTTACAAAAGGTAGGTACTCGATATATGCTTGCAATGTCGTTTGTTCATTTGCTAATAAATGAGTCCTGCTGATTTCGAGGACAAAAATATCATTGTCTTGGGCATGGGAAACTCGGCCGGTGATACAGCCTGCGTATGACGCCCCTCCGTCTTTATAAACTCAGCGACTAATTTGCGCAGGAACTCACTGAGTATGCCGCCAAAGTCTACCTTGCCCATCGCCGCGGCGCCAAGATCCTTCCTCGGGCCAACGAGGATGGTCCTCTTGACAGCTATGTCTCCTGGAAGATCTCTCGTATGGCTCTGTGGACGGAGCACCACGCACCTGGAATATTCCAGATCCTCGCCGATGGTTTACTTCAGAAGAACTCGGACAGTCACTTTAGCGGCGAGGAGGCCGAGCAAAATTCGGAATGGGCCCTCGAGGAAACTAGTGGAGACGTCACCACCATCATCTGCAATGATCACCTGAAGCGGCTGGTTCACGAGAAGCGAATCGCTTCAGTCAAGGGGGTCAAGCGGATCATCGGTCCACGGACTGTGGAACTTGACAACGGCGATATCATCGACGACGTCGATGCCATCATAGCCTGCACGGGCTATCGAGCCGACTTTTCGCTATTGCCAGATCTACCAAGCACACAGCTGGACGCTTCGCTCCCGGCGTTTCCAGACCTGTATCAGATGATTTTCCCGCCACGCTACGCCGACTCACTCGCATGTACAAACTATTGCATCATAAACGAAAGCGCAGCCGCATACCGCGAGCTCCAAGCCATGGCCATCGCACAGGTTTGGGCTGGTCACTCGATTCTCCCGAGCGAGGAGGCGATGATGGTGCAAGTACACGAGTACCAGACATGGCTCGCTTGTCAGATGCTAGCTTTTCCAGCAACAATGCTGGGAAAGGGGCAGATGTACCCGTGGATGAGATGGCTGCACGACACTGCCGGTACAGGGTTGTATGAGTACATGGGCTGGAGCCTCAAGGGAATGTGGTTTTGGCTGCGAAATCGCAGGTTGTACAACCTCGTCGCTTGGGGTGTGTACTCGCCACACATTTATCGTTTGTTCCCGACGGGTAAGAGGTCGGCGTGGGAGGGGGCGAGTCAAGCTATTATACAGGTGAACGAGGACAGGGAGAGGGCATTTCCGGATAAGAAGAAGAAGAAGAAGGGAAAGACCTAGATTCTGTCTCGGAGGTCGGTCTAACGATGCAATGTCCGTCCAACTTTTTCTGGACCATAGAAAAACCTCCATCGATTCACGTTGACAGTGGCTCTCCTGTATAGACTCTGACGAGGGGCAGCCACAGGCGATGAGCCAATGGTTGGCAGTTGGGTCCATAGGTAATCATGAGAACAGTCATGCAGTGTCTTCGCAATCAAATGTGCGCTAGCCTTCCATCAGAAAAAGAAGAGATGCCGACTATGTTTATCATCTCACCCCCCCAATTCTGCTGGGAACAACCGATAAACCACCTTGGATTGAATTTGGTCTGCAGAACTGCCATCTACGGAACTGGACTCTCGGCCGTTCTCCCATGGCTTGTGAAACAGTGAATGTTCGGTATGGCACACAATGAGTGGCTACTCCTTGGTTCTTCTGCCAGAAATCGGGGTTTGCTGATCTTCATGTTGGCCAGTGCTCTGCCAGAGTCTGTGTGTTTGCTTTTTTTCATCGGAGCCCGCTTGAGGAACCGCAATTGCAGCGGTTGACTTGAGACGGTTTCCTTTTTTCGCAGAGGGTAATTTGCCTGAGCCGCCGGCCAATATCGAAATGTTTCCCCGGGTCGTCTGATGACCCAGGTGGTTGACTCGTTTTCGAGAGCTGTGCACAGGCTGCACTGCGATCCTCAGGCAGGTAGAGTCCCCTGTTGTTTCAGAGGTGCTGTCATCTGCCGTTTGCCTACTGCCATCTCGATGGAAAGTCGTCGGTAAGTGAGTGGCACCTAGGTGGGCACAAGATAAGGCACCTCAGGTACCCGGTCTCTAGGATAAGCACCTGACAGACGAGAAGAGTGCCGTGGCAGGACGTGGCAGGCCGGCTGGACGTCTTAAATTACAGATGCCGCAGTGCATCACTGATGGTTCGGGTCTTGGTTGGGCTTCCCCGGACACGGGCAAATGGAGAGGATCCAGACGCGCAAGTGAGCGACGGCGACCCCTGGACTCGCCTGGGCGGCGATGTTTATAGGGGTATTTGTTAGGCCCTCGTATCATTCAAAGTCCCTTCTGGCGTGGCGCTCGCGGGCAAGGTACATCGAGGTGGTCAAGTCCCCATCCGTGCTTCCATCCAGTGGGAGTGGGCGGGTCCCTTCTCATTAAGGTCGACATCAAGCAGCCAACCACCGAGCTCGCATCCGAACCACCCAAGGCACGCCCCCCCCCGTCTAGAGGCCGGCATCCCTGCCTCTAGTCCTGAAGAGACCTAGCGCGTCTCAAGCCCCTATTGCTGGTGGAAAGCAACGGCCACCTACGCCGCCGTAGGAAGGGACGCTTGGGACGGCAAGAGGTACTGGGCCACTGAAACGGGGTCGCACAGCCAAATCTTTCTAGTGGCCGGCCACCTCCTACGCACTCTCTGCCTTAGGGACGCTGGGTCCACGTCCCCTTGCTCGAGCCGCTCCCTGTCATCACCTCGACCTAAATTTCCCATCTCCTTTCCTCCCAACCCCAAGGACGTTCGTTCGCCATCACGACCTCCATCCCCCTTTGAGGCTGCCTTCCCCCATCATTCATACTGCCGCATCTCGCCAGTATTTCTTCCTTTGATACCATCGAGCGTCGTCGAAATCGCCAGAGCCCTTCTTCCAGAGAAGTCCTGCGACGCCCCTGACACGCGACTTCACACCACGTTTTAGGTACGTGCAATGATTTTTCCTGGATTCGCTCAAATGCTGGATTTGAGGCGGGCAACTACACACCACGGAAGCAAGAATGGATCAAGCTTCTCGCGGGTCGCATCTCAACGCGGCGCGGTCCTGTCGTTGACGCGAAGCTGCCCTCCCGTGTGATTGAATGGTCATCGATGCTTGCTCCCCCCTTTTCTGGCTTTCTTGCAATGCCCATCAAACCGCCCAGGAGTCATCAATCGTCGCTGACTTTCTACTGCACAGAACCTACCATTCCTTCCCTAGGTACCACGTATTCGTGAACAGCTCCAACTCCCGAGCTCTCAATAATGGGTAAGCGCATTTCTCTCCCGAGCAGCGTGATGCATTGGAAAGGAAGGCAGGAGGAACTGCATTGGATCACCGGGCAAGCATGACCCTCGCAACCGAATGCAAAACGTGGCCTACATCTCGCCCCCGGCCTTGAATCAGGCCCCTCGAATATTCTCCCAACAACGTCGACACCACGCGCTCTCATTACGGTTTTCGAATAAACCCCCATCTACCATTTTCTTGGGTGTCTACCTTTTTGGTCCTTTATTGGTAGACCAGAGATTACCCTCTTTTTGGAAGCACGCGAACAAAACACACGAAAAGCCCCCCAATACCCACCCAGAAACTCTCTAGCATTCAATGGCGATGAGAATGGTCGAACACGTCAAGGCCCGAGCCCGAAGTGTCCACTTAGACAAGAGCAACAACAACAGCTCATTATGGGCTAGCCGGCCAACACCCAGCCAAGCCATCATATCTCCTTCGAGAAGATCCAGTAGCCTGCCAATCAGCAAGGACGACACCCTTGGCTCGCGGCCCTCTTCAGCTCAGCCAACGGTTCGTCACTACAGGAGCATGCTCTATGTCGATGCTCCATCCATCGACGCCCCCGGGGACACGATTCCAGACGAGTTCTTCCAGGACCTTTTCGATGCGGTTGTGAAGCCGCCCAAGCCCGAAACGGAACATCTCGTGAAAGCAAAGGCAATGGCCGACCACGACCTTGGCCATAAACGTTTGCGTTAGCACAGTCTCCTTTGCCTTCCTGCACGACTGCAGCACAATGAACAGCTTACCATAGTTTATGTCGATTGATTGCTAACATTTTGGCTCATAGCTTCTTCCAACGCATCTCCCGCCGTGTCCCCCCCGCCGCAACGGGCCGCCGCGGTTCCCGCCCCCTTGGCCGCCGCGCCCTCCAGTAAGTGACACTGGGCAATCTAAGCGCGATCGCTCCTTCTAACTCTGGCTTTAGGCGCTGCTCCCAGTGCTTCCCCGGCCGCTCAGTCTTCGAGCGACCTCCGCAACATCGTTCGCCGCAAGTTGACTGGCTACGTTGGATTCGCCAACCTGCCCAACCAATGGCACCGCAAGAGCGTCCGTAAGGGCTTCAACTTCAACGTGATGGTCGTTGGTATGTGGTTTGTATCCTTCTGTGTAAAACACTCAACTGACCTGGAATCTCAAGGTGAATCCGGACTCGGCAAGTCGACTCTCGTGAACACACTCTTCAACACCTCGCTCTACCCTCCCAAGGAGCGCAAGGGACCTAGCCTCGACATTGTTCCCAAGACTGTCTCCATTCAGTCTATCAGCGCGGACATCGAAGAAGCTGGCGTTCGGCTGCGCCTGACTGTTGTCGATACCCCTGGTTTCGGCGACTTCGTCAACAACGACGAGTCCTGGCGCCCGATTGTCGACAACATCGAGCAGCGATACGACGCCTATCTTGATGCTGAGAACAAGGTGAACCGCATGAACATCGTGGATAACCGCATCCATGCTTGCGTGTTCTTCATCCAGCCTACTGGCCACTCCCTGAAGCCTCTGGACATCGAAGTCATGCGCCGCCTGCACACCAAGGTCAACCTGATTCCCGTCATTGCCAAGTCTGACACCCTGACCGACGAGGAAATTGTTAGCTTCAAGGCCCGCGTAAGTTGCAAATGCATTCCAGTTACACCGCCACTTGACTAACCGGCACCCAGATCCTTGCCGACATCAAGTACCACGGAATCCAAATCTTCGAGGGCCCGAGGTACGAACTCGATGACGAGGAGACCATTGCCGAGAACAATGAGATCATGTCCAAGGTTCCCTTCGCCGTGGTTGGTGCTGGAAACGAGATCACCACCGCCGACGGTCGCAAGGTTCGTGGCCGTGCCTACCCCTGGGGTATCATCGAGGTCGACAATGAGGAGCATTGCGACTTTGTGAAGCTTCGCCAGATGCTCATCCGCACCCACATGGAGGAACTCAAGGAGCACACCAACAACACACTCTACGAGAACTACCGTACCGACAAGCTCATTGCCATGGGCGTGTCCCAGGATCCCAGCGTGTTCAAGGAGGTCAACCCCGCTGTCAAGCAGGAGGAGGAGCGTGCGCTGCACGAGCAGAAGCTCGCCAAGATGGAGGCCGAGATGAAGATGGTCTTCCAGCAGAAGGTCACCGAAAAGGAAAGCAAGCTCAAGCAGAGCGAAGAGGAGCTCTACGCTCGCCACAGAGAGATGAAGGAGCAACTAGAACGCCAACGGATGGATCTCGAGGAGAAGAAGCAGAGGATCGAGAGCGGTCGTCCCATAGAGGGCAAGGAGACCAAGAAGAGGGGAGGCTTCTCGCTCCGCTAAGGTGGTCAGCGCCCCTTGACGTTGCCTTTCGCCTACTCGCTTCTCCCACGACCCCATGTTTGAGTACCCATGATGCCCATACACACAAAGCTCAATGCGCCTCTTTGTCAGATTCTATTCTTGTCTTTTCTTACCACCGCCCTTCTCTCGACCTCTTTTTTTAATCACACTCTCGCAAGCTTTCCTTTAATCAACGGCGACCCTTCATCGTCATCCAAAAGTCTTTCCATGAAGCAGTCAAGCAGTGGGTTGATGCAGGCTATGATCGGAAAGACAAAATCCAGAAAAGATTGCAGATTGCGGATCGAGCTTCTGCGAGGCCACGATCATGACGACTAGGAGTTCTTGGGGCACTTGAACCAGCGACACTGTTTTTGTCCTGCCCTTTGTGGTGGAGGGCGAAGCAAGAGACGCTGCGGAGAAGCAATAGCTGGACAGCAGAGGCAAACTGCCGTAGCAAAGGATCGAAATCTTGTTCTTTTGACGGAACGGTTTCGCCACCCATCTCGGGTTTCTCTTAATATGACGGCACTCTCAATACCCCTGATACCTTTGGAGCCTTGTTTTATCCCTTGCAGTTCCTATAGAGCTCCTGTCGTTGTGTAGCGCTGCACAGCTTGTTTGCGACTGGTGTGTTTGTATTCTAGTCGGATAAGGCTATAGAGGTGCGGAGGTGTGGAAGATGGCAAGGGTTTTGGTCAGTCCATTGTGCGTCTGACGAGAGCTGTCCTCCGGTTCCTTAGCATGTCATTTCCCTTGCAGGTATTTTACCTTACTTAGTTACTGGTTTCGTCTGCGAATTGAAGATGAGTTTCCTGAATTTGATCACCTTGACAATGACAAGTGCCTCACGAATTGTCATGCATATGCTCTTCGCCCAACACTACAGTGACCTGACCCTACGACGCTAATCACAAATAAAAGTGTTGATGATAATACATTGAGACTACATTTTGACCTTCTACATAGTTACTCCAATGGTGTACACGCCGTGATGGTGGCTGTGCAGCCAATACCCTGTCACGAGCCACGTGGGTCGGTCCACATCCCCTCCCACGTATCAACAAGAACCTGCCTATATCGCTCAAGCTCTACTAAATGGAACGCTGAATCTCGTCCTAACGCCTCCTGAGATACCAGTTGAAGGCCAGCTGGTTCTGGTCGATGGGGAAAGGGGTGGGGACCTCAGCCTCGCCGCGGCGGGCGACAGGGTGGCGGAGGTAGACGGCGGCGCAGATGTTCTGATTGACCTCGAGGTAGCGGGGGATGAAGGCAAAAGGGGCGATGTAGCGGCGCGGCTGCCAGGGGGTGAGGTAGGGTTTCGTCTCGTCGACGGGGTTCTCGGCGTCCTCGGCGAGGAGGCGCGCGAGGGCGTCCTGCTCGGCCTTGGTGAGGGTCTGGAGCTCTTGCTCCCAGGTCTGGGGGGTGGGCTCAGCGGTGTCGACGACCGCGGCGTCGGCGGCGTCGGCATCAGCCTTGGCCTGTTGGGCGTGGTCGAGGTTGAGGCCCTTGAGGATGGTGGCGAGCTGGGTCATGACCGAGTCGCGGGAGAGGTCGGCGTCCGGGTCGAGAGCCGCGGCGTTCTTGCCGAGGCGAGAGATGGCGCGCTTGGCCTCCGAGAGGAAGAGGCGGACGCGCTGTTTGTGCTTGGCGCTCATCTTGTCCTGGCCGTCCTTGAGGAGCGTCTTGGCGTCCTGGATGAGCTTCTTGAGCTGGCGCTTGTGCTGAGCGGCGCGCTCGTCCTCCGTCATGGGCTCGCCGTCCTCGCCGAGCATGCCGGCCGCGTCGGCATCGGTGGCCGCAGCCTCGACGGCGGCTTCCGACTCTGCCTCGACAGCCGTCTCGCCTGCGGCCTGCTCTGAGGCCTCGGCCGAGGGGCCCTCACCGCCGCCGCGGTCGCCGGCCTTGAGCTTGTCGGCGAGCTCCTGGCGCTTGGCGGCGCGGAGGGCGGCGTCCTTGGCCTCGGCGGCGGCTTCGCGCTCCTCGCGCTCCCGCAGGAGCTTGTCGAGACGCGCAATCTCTTGGGGGTTCTTGGGCTTGCCGGTGGCGTAGAGGACACGCTCGACATCGACCTGGAACATGTCGCCGGGGTTGAGGAGATAGCCTGGGGATCGCATCTAAAGGTGAACAGAAAAAAAGAGTCAGATGATGAGAGCCTGATAAATTGGTTTGGTACGAGAGAGAGAGAGAGAGAGAGAGAGAGAGAGAGAGAGAGAGAGAGAGAGAGAGAG